GTGGTCCAATTGGTCTGAAAATTTCATAGTAGATAGATTTTGACTATTCATCACCTGAACTCCATGTCACTTTTACTCTAACTGCTATAGTTTTTGTCTCGCCTTGACCGAGTCAAAAAGCGAGACATAGGTATGCTGTTTCTGGCGTCGGCGTCAATAATGTATTAGCTTGTGATTAGGTCTAGTTTATGGTGAACCACAAGTGGTAGGTCAATGATATTTTGTATGCAGTTGTATAAGCATTGGCACATTTCATTTCCATAGAGATTATTTGGCCCTGCCCCATCAGTCATTTAACTTTGAAACTTTTGCTTAGTTTACATGTATTAGTTTGTGATTAGGTCAGTTTATGGGGAACCACTAGTGGTAGGTCAATATTTGGTATGCAGTTGTATAAGCATTGGCATTTCTCATTTCCATGCAGATTATTTGGCACGCCCCCTTAGTCATGGTCTATTGACTTTGAAAATTTTGCTTAGTTTACATGTATTAGTTTGTGATTAGGTCAGTTCAAGGGGAACCATTAGTGGTAGGCCAATGTTAATTGGTATCCAGTTGTATAAGCATTAGCACATCTCATTTCCACGGAGAATATTTGGCCCCGCCCCCTCAGTCATGGTCTTTTGACTTTGAAAAATTTGCTTAGTTTATATGTATTAGTTTGTGATTACATTGTAGATCAGTTTAAGATGAACTGCTAATGTTATGTCAATGATATTTGGTATGCAAATTTATTGGCATTTGCAAGTCTTATTTCGATGAAGATTATATAGCCCCCCCCCCCCCCCCCCCCATGGCGGCCATGTTTGTTAATGGATCAAAACTTCGGATACTATTTATAAACCAGTTACCCTAAGGAACATTCAGTCAGTTAAAGTTTAGAAGTATTAGGCCCAGTAGTTTCAGAGAAGATTTTTAAATGTTAGCAAACATGATTAACAAATTGTGTAAAATTGTCTTTAAAGGGTAATAACTCCTCAAGGGATCAATTGACAATTTGGTCATATTAACTTTTTTGTAGATCTTACTTTGCTGAACATTTTTGCTGTTTACAGTTTATCTTTATCTTCAATAATATTCAAGATAATAACCAAAAACTGCAAAATTTCCTTAAAATTACCAATTTAGTGGCAGCAACCCAACAATGGGTTGTTCGGTTCATCTGAAAATTTCAAGGCTGACAGATCTTGATCTATTGAACATTTATACCAAGTGTCAGATTTGCTCTAAATGCTTTAGTTTTTGAGATATAAGCCAAAAACTGCATTTGATCCCTATGTTCTATTTTTAGCCATGGCTGCCATGTTTGTTGATGGATCAAAACGAGAAACGAGAAACACTTATGAACCACATCAACAAACGACAACTACTGAACCTCAGATTCCTGACTTAGGACAGGTGCAAACAATTGCAGCGGGTTTAAACGTTTTAATGGTACTAAACCTTCACCCTTATCTGAAACAATAGTGTAACATCACAACATAGAAAGACACACTATAAAATATTAATTGAAATGGCTTAACTCAATCAAAAGAAATATTAACACCAGTGAACATACACTAAAAAATAAATTTGATCTATGATACAATGCAAATACAAAATAAACAAAAGGCTCTGAAGAGCCTGAATCGCTCACCTGTATTTCAGAGGAGACGATTTTTAAATGTTAGCAAACTTGATGAACAAATTGTGTAAAATTGTCTTTAAAGGGCAATAACTCCTTAAGGGGTCAATTGACAAAAAATTTTGTTAAAACTACCAATTCGGTGGCAGCAACCCAACAATGGGTTGTTCGATTCGTCTGAAAATTACAGAGCTGATAGATCTTGACCAATTGAACAATTTTACCCCGTGTCAGACAACAGACGACGACGACAGATGACGGATGACGACGGACGCCAAGTGATGGCATAAGCTCACATAGGGGCCTTCGGGCCCCGGTGAGCTAATAAATGAAAGAATAATTAAAGTAACATGTTATACCGCTGTGAAATGTTAAACAATTTAAGAAAAACAATATGCTTGAACAAAAATATCAGCCATTTGCAATTACTTTAAACACAGGTAAATGAAAATAATTTTGTTGTTAGGTATACGTGTAAAGTTCAAATAGAGAAAGGAAATATTATTACAAAATAAATAAACCTGTATTTGACCCGATGAGCTTAAAACAGAAATAATCAAAACAATACTGAATGATACCACCTTGAAATTGATAAATTCTGAGTTATACTTAAGCTCACTATTGGTCAAAAGGCTTAAACATTAATAAAATTGAGAATGTTATTTTACAACCTATGTGAACACTAAAAATGCCCTTTTGTTGGTACTTTTCACAGTGAATGCTGACAAGTGTTTGTTTTGGTTTTTTATGCTGATGTAGCTCACTGTGTCTTACATATTTGACAAGGTGACTGGGTCATAAATTATATTGCTTACAAGGACACTATTTAACCAAGAGTTCCGAGTTAGAAGTTAAAGTCATCCATGTGGAGCAGGATCTGCATACCATTCCAGAGCACCTGAGATCATCCTTGGTTTATGGTGGTGTTCGTGTTGCTTAGTCTTTAGTTTTCTATGTTGTGTTTTGTAGACTGTTGTTTGTCTTTTGGTTGTAATTAGTCTCTGTAACTATTTAAACTCTTACATAGGGAGTGTGGCACGCATGGTCATGGATTTTCTTCAAACTTCACACACTTACTAGTCTTGATGAAACAAACAAAAAATGGCAAAAATTTGGTTGCTAAGCATATCGGTTGCCATAGCAACCGATGACCAGTTTAACCTCATCTGGATATCTATGATTTTAAGCTGAAAAAGGCTATTTTCAACATAATTTTTCATAATATAAGATCAAGAGAAATAATATTTTTTTATGACTTTATCAAATATATGCATTTTATTAATGTAATTTAATAACTGACTTTTTCATATTCATTTTCAATCATAATCACATATACCCCCCTCTTCATGTGGTTTGCATTAGGTAAAAAATACCCTTTTAAGGTCATTTTTGAATGCTCACCATAATTTTTTGCGGACACATGAGTTAAAGACAACCATGAATTCATAAATACCATAGTCTTATCTTATCAATGATGCTAAAAAGTAATGGGGAATTATGTCTCATTATTTTGTTACCATGGATACAAAATGCTTAGTTTTCATTTTTTCAGAAAAAAAAAATTTGAAAAATTTTGAAAAAAAATGTTTTAAAACCTAACTGTGCAGTCAGAAAAAAATAAACAAATATACAATATGTAGAAATTATTGTAATCATCAAAATTTTAAACATATTCATATATAATGGTATTATAGTTTTAACTGTGTTGCTATGAAAACAATTTTAAAACAATTTTGAAAAAGTTTCAGTTAGTTTCTTAAATGTGCACAAAAGTAGGAAAACTAAAACACTTATTAAGTTTCACTGTATACACACATGTGTATATATAAATAATTTTGCTAGTATAGTATATCGATAATGGTGTTACCACTTGAAGGAAACAAACACAATTTCTCTTTTCTGGATAAAAGTGCTGATTATGAAGAGATTTCAGTCTGTTTTCATGATCATGAAAAATATACAAGAAAAACAATTACTCAATCTAGAAAAAACAAATAAAATCATTTGAAAAATTCACATATTTAATTGTGCAATATTTGCCATTGAATGTGTTGCCATGGAAACAAGCAGTCCATTTGCAAAAATACTGATAAGTGCTAATTTTTACAAATTCGTTTTAATGAACTTCGATACATATAGCAATGAATGTATACAATTTTGCTTACATAATGCAGGTTTTCTTGTATTTAAGAAATATTAATAATATTCCAGGCATTATTAGTGATAGTGTTGCCACAGAAACAACAAATTATATGCATAAACTTGGAAAACGTTTTAAAATAGACTAAATCACTCATACAAAAACTCTCTTCTGTAAGCTTTCAATTTAATGCAGTGTCAAAGAATGATGGTTTTACAAGTCAGTCCATCAACTATTATTCAAATGCTGTAGTGAATATTAAAGATCATAGAGCCACTTGGTGTTGACAGTTTGGAATAATAGCTACTAGCTCCTATTTATACATAATATTAAGAAGATACAATCAGAAAATTGACAGTTCAAGAAAGGCCAAGCTTAAAATTGTTTGTGTGAGGCATAGAAATAAATACTTATCACAAATGAAAATAATCAATATCGTTTGGGGGTTAAGATTTTGTAAAAAAGAAATGATCGATTAGTTGTGGTTTGCTTTATGTCCAATGTCAAACATCTCATGCATATTTCAGAAGAGAACAAAATCAATGAATTTAATAGGAACATTGTAGGTCCTGTGCTTGTCTACTGACCAAAAATTAATTAAAGGTAATAATTTGATATACATTGTAATTCAACACAATAAAAAATAGAACAAAAAGAGTCAGACGTTGATCCTCTAAATAAATGATAATTGACCTAACCTTTCTTTCTTAAGGGAAAAAATACCTATATTATAAGCTGTTTATTTTTCTTATTCATTCTTAAAATCAATGTTGAAATGGCAAAGCATATATAGCTATACATTTTGAATAATATTGTATTATTGGATGATGAGTATCTACATGAAGATTATTTTTGAGGTGATGGTGAAATTTTCAATTTCAAAAAGGTCCTGCAATAGGGGTAGGCTGGGATGAAGGCGGACAATTTTCGAGATTTTCCAAAAAGTTCCGTTTCCCTACATTGACCCGCGGAAAATCTGTCAGGGGGTGGCTGCGGATCTTACAACCAGCAGCGAGGGGAAATATACCATTTCAGTTTGTTTTCTACTTATGACCTTTGGTATCTTCCACCGCTCTTCAACCACTAGCAATCACCTTTTTTCATAGTAATTTTAAAACTCAATACCTGAAAAAGTACATTTTAACTTAATCCTGTGTTTGTTCTGTACAACCTAAATATGAACAGAACTCTTTCATTACATTTGTGTGGCAACTAGACAAACTAAAGAAGAGTGAATAGAAAGAATTATATCTGTTTATTTGCAAAATTAAATCTTTTTTATGAAAATATAAGTTACAACATTGAAATGACATTTTACCCTGTCTCAGAGCTTATAACCCCAAAATAGTCCTCCTTTTTGTAAATTAACCAACTGTGTCAATTCCCTGTCATTTTATCATTTACTGAGTCTGTATTTACATGGTGGGTGATGCATGAACATCTGCACACGCTTACCCTCAAACCCAACTTGGGTAAAATTTTATCTTCTTCCAGGTGTGTTTTTCTTTATGAGCTTATTCCATTATTCTACATGGAAAAACAATGTCTCATGGCACTTTCATTTCATGCTTTCAGAAAACAAAATCCATGTTTTGATCAGTGTTCATAAATTTATGCATGTTCTATTCTAAATCTATTTTAAACCTGGCATAAGAGATAGGGTTGATGTGCAGTTCAACATATTTTATTTTCTTAATTTCCCATTTCAACACTAGATTTTCTGAAAATGTGAAATGTTGCATATTCAGTAGATTACCCATACTCTTATAAAATGAAATATGCCCAAACAGGAATAAAGTGTACAAAAACAGTAGATCTTGACCATAAAAAGAAAGGATATCCCATACCATTATCCACTCCTCCCCCTAAAAACAAGATTCAAAATCACGGTCATCATTTAATGATATACAATTTAAAATATTCATAATCATTGATTTCAAAATACAATAAAAAAATACATTATTGAGATTGTGCAAAATAAAATAAATACAACAATTTGTCTTTTAAATGCTACAACATATAACCAAGGTCACATAGGTGTCAAGTCTTTACAAAACGGTCAATTGGTTATACCTGAGGTTTGGATTTTCAACAATTTTCCAAACATTAATTATCTTTTTTAAAACCAGAGCTTTCTGGTTCTTGTAACTGTTCCATTCATTCATGAACCATTTTGTTTATAATGGGTATCAACCAATATATTACAACCTTTCAAGAAGATGGGAAAATGTCAATGAAACATAAACCCAACAACACAAGTTAACAAAGACTTAATAATAGCTTTTTTTAATAAGTTTACTAGGAATCATTTCCATAAAAAAATACTTTCTTCCTTATTCTCAAAATTGTGTTTGTTAATACATGAAGAAGAACAGTTTATGCTAACTTTATTCAAAAATTTCTAGACTTTAGATTTAGAGCTTGCTATTATGTATAGACAATTATATATGGTTCAACAATAGATCTTGACCTCTACATGTTTTTTTGTGTCATTCAATTGCTTTCTCATTGATTCTAAATTGTCAAATAATATACATTTTAAATGCCTAAGAAGTATGTCAAATTATTATAAATTATCACAATTAGAGACAGATATTCAAACAAACATGTTGACATTTCCTTGAATATTGTAATTAAGATAATGCAGAATTCTATTAGTCAACATTTTATTTTAAATACTGGGACATATCTGGAACATCCTTCACAATAAAGTCCAATAACATCTGTCCATATGCCTTGCCCTGAAATAATAAACAACAGAATATATAAACAACAAATGAAAACATGTTAGCTGTTTTAGTATGACAGCATATGAGAGGGTCCGGATGGGGGGGGGGGGGGGGGGGTTCTTTGTTTCTTTATTCTTTAATATTTTAGACCATTTTTCTCTATTCTTTATTTATTTTGATTCCTTTGTTGCTGCCCTACATACCAATGGAATACTGGGCAGTAAGTAAGTTATTCATTTTGACCATTATTCTCTATTCTTTATATTTTAGCACCCCTTTATTCTCCATTTTTTTAATTATTTTTGTCTATTTTTGTCTATTCTTTATATTTTTTGCTCTTATTCTGCAACTTAAGCCTATTATTCTCTATTCTTTAAACCCCAACCAGACCGTCATTTATGTTTCCCCTTCTTATCAACTTTAGTATGAATGGAAAGATAAATAAGTGTGTAAACAAAATTGTTCCAAATTTCTGATAATTGAAATAATCTTAAATTAATTTGATTGATTGGTGGCTGATTTATGTCCAACAAAGAATACTACATGGATCTTCAGGATAACAACTTGTTAATGAATTTTTAATACATCATGCTATGTACAAGACAATCAGGTTAAGTCAAACTTTTTAGATGCGGGCTTTCCAAGGTAAGAGTCTGCACAGTATGTTACCCTGCTCATACAGATTATTCCAACTCTAAGCAGACAAGCCTTTGTTCTAAGTGGTGAATGCCATTTGCTTGGCAAAAAAGCTGTATTTGCTAATGTTAGACTTTGGTATCATAAAGCCTTCTTTAAAATTTGAATTGGATTTGACAAGAAATTAACGGCACTCATATTTAGAAACAAAATTTTAAAAATACAGTTAACTAAGGGGAGTAACTCTATATTATTTACTATCAAGTATGAGTTCAAGATACAAAAATATATTGCCTTATGCTGAGGTAACAGAAATTAATTAACATTATTTTTGACAATGTGAAGAGTTCATATTTATTGTCCTTATCAATTTTGGCTCCACTTCAAACTACTGATGACTCGAGTAAATTGGTCAGTTATCTTAAATATTGTTGTAAAAAGTGAAAGGCAGCTCAAAAATAGCCAGGCTGGCAAAATAACATTAGAAAAGGGCACAGGGGTCAGACAACTAGAGGCTCTAAAGAGCCTGTGTCGCTCACCTTGGTCTATGTGCATATTAAACAAAGGACACAGATGGATTCATGACAAAATTGTGTTTTGGTGATGGTGATGTGTTTGTAGATCTTACTTTACTGAACATTCTTGCTCCTTACTATTATCTCTATCTATAATGAACTTGGCCCGGTAGTTACAGTGGAAAATACTTTGTAAAAATTTACAAAAATTTACAAAATTTATGAAAATTGTAAAAAATTGACTATAAAGGGCAATAACTCCTTAAGGGGTCAATTGACAATTTTGGTCATGTTGCCTTATTTGTAGATCTAACTTTGCTGTACATTATTGCTGTTAACAGTTTATCTCTATCTATAACAATATTCAAGATAATAACCAAAAGCTGCAAAATTTTCTTAAAATTACCAATTCAGGGGCAGCAACCCAACAACGGGTTGCCTGATTGGTCTGAAAATTTCAGGGCAGATAGATCTTGACCTAATGAACAATTTTATCCTCATCAGATTTGCTCTAAATGCTTTGGTTTCAGAGATATGAGCCAAAAACTGCATTTTACCCTTTGTACTATTTTTTAGCCATGGCGGCCATCTTGGTTCGCGGGCGGGGTCATCGGACACATTTTTTAAACTAGATACCCTAATGATGATTGTGGACAAATTTGGTTAAATTTGTCTTAGTAGTTTCAGAGGAGAAGATTTTTGTAAAAAATTACAAAAAATTACGAAAAATGGTTAAAAATTGACTATAAAGGGCAATAACTCCTTAAGGGGTCAACTGACCATTTTGGTCAAGTTGACTTATTTGTAGATCTTACTTTGCTGAACATTATTGCTGTTTACAGTTTATCTCTATCTATAATAATGTTCAAGATAATAACCAAAAACGGCAAAATTTCCTTAAAATTACCAATTCAGGGGCAGCAACCCAACAACGGGTTGTCCGATTCATCTGAAAATTTCAGGGCAGATAGATCTTGACCTGATAAACAATTTTACCCCATGTCAGATTTGCTCTAAATGCTTTGGTTTCAGAGATATAAGCCAAAATCTACATTTTACCCCTATGTTCTATTTTTAGCCATGGCGGCCATCTTGGTTGGTAGGCCGGGTCACCGGACACTTTTTTTAAACTAGATACCCCAATGATGATTGTGGCCAAGTTTGGTCAAATTTGGCCCAGTAGTTTCAGAGGAGAAGATTTTTGTAAAAGTTTACGGACGACGGACGACGGACGCCAAGTGATGAGAAAAGCTCACTTGACCTTTCAGGTCAGGTGAGCTAAAAAGGATCTAGCTGGAACACTCATTTAGGGCTTACCTCATATTAAGGAAAGTTCTTACTCATCACTGAGGAACATTTGGTGACCTCTAAATAAATTATTTGAGTGACCTTATAGAATCAGTTTGTGATTACTGTCCATTCATTCATTTTTGGTGAATTAAGGAAACATTGTATTTTTCATGGATACTTGTTTTAGTTATATTCTGTATGCAAACGTTAGGAATTTTGATTTTTCAAACCGTTGTTCACCTATACCCACACAATCCATGAAAATTTGTATACTTTTGTGATTTACCTGGTATAATTTGGTGAAAATGTGGAATTCCATTGTGATCTAACTGGCATCATTTTGGTAACCTTGGTGACAGTGTATTATTTGTTTGTGATCTACTGTGGAATCATTATTATTCGTGAGATATAAAGTTTTGTGATCTACTGTGGAATCATTATTATTCGTGAGATATAAATTTTTGTGATCTACTGTGGAATCATTATTATTCGTGAGATATAAATGTTTATGATCTACTGTGAATCATTATCATTCGTGAGATATAAATGTTTGTGATCTACTGTGGAATCATTATCATTCGTGAGATATAAATATTTATGATCTACTGTGGAATCATTATTATTTGTGAGATATAAATGTTTGTGATCTACTGTGGAATCATTATTATTTGTGAGATATAAATGTTTGTGATCTACTGTGGAATCATTATTATTCGTGAGATATAAATGTTTGTGATCTACTGTGGAATCATTATTATTCATAATTATTCGGGAGATATAAATGTTTGTGATCTACTGTGGAATCATTATTATTCATTATTATTCGGGAGATATAAATGTTTGTGATCTACTGTGGAATCATTATTATTCATTATTATTCGGGAGATATAAATGTTTGTGATCTACTGTGGAATCATTATTATTTGTGAGATATAAATGTTAGAGATCTACTGTGGAATCATAATTATTTGTGAGATATAAATGTTTGTGATCTACTGTGGAATCATTATTATTTGTGAGATATAAATGTTTGTGATCTACTGTGGAATCATTATTATTCATTATTATTCGGGAGATATAAATGTTTGTGATCTACTGTAGAATCATTATTATTTGTGAGATATAAATGTTTGTGATCTACTGTGGAATCATTTTTGTGAGATATAAATGTTTGTGATCTACTGTGGAATCATTATTATTTGTGAGATATAAATGTTTGTGGATTGAGTGGTATAGGTAAACCATGAATTCAATTGTTCAAAGATTGATTGATTGATTGATTGGTGTTTAACACTACTTTCAACACTATTGTGCTATTTTGTGGCAGTCAGTTTTTTTTTTTGGTGGAGGAAGCCGGAGACAACCACCTACCAACGGTAGGAAAACTGACAATCCTAGTCAATTAAGATTGGAGTCGTGTGCACCTACCCCGTGCAGGATTCGAACTACAACCTCAGTGTTGACAGGCTAGTGATACAGTAGTTCGACTACTTAGACCACTTGGCCACCGAGGCCCCTAATTGTTCAAAGAAGATTTTATTTTCTTTCGGCTTGTATGCAGATTTTGCCAAAACCATAAAATCAAAATATTCACAAAACAAGAGTGCACACGCTGAAATGTCTCGCCTTCTTTACTAATCATTGATATTATGTTGATAGTCCTAAATATAAAGCTTTATTACAACTGTCACATAAACTTAACATTAACCAAGAAAACTAAACATTGACCAATGAACCAGGAAATTAGGTCAAGGTCAGATGAACCATGCTAGGCAGGCATGTACAGCTAACAATTCTTTCATACAACAAATATAGTTGACCTATTACTTATAGTTTAAGAAAAACAGACCAAAACACAAAACTTAAAACTGAGCAATGAACCTTGAAAATGAGGTCAAGGTAAAAAAAAAACCTGCGTGACTGACAAATAGATCATAAAATATTTCCATACACCAAATATAGTTGAACTATTGCATATAGTATTAGAAAAAAAGACCAAAACTTAAAAACTTAACTTCATCAGAAGGGATTGACAAATATGGCCATTTTTTTTCTTGAGTACAGACAAACCTGTGCACAAGGAAAACTTTTTTTTCAAGCAGTCGCTGAACCATGAAAATAAGGTCAAGGACATTGGACATATGACAGACGGAAAGTTCGTAACATAAGGTATCTGCATACAAAGTATGAAGCATCCAGGTCTTCTACCTTCTGAAATATAAAGCTTTATACAAATAGTTAACGCCGCCATCGCCGCCGCCGCCGGATAGTAATACCTATGTCTCACTTTCTGCGACTTTCATCGCAGGCGAGACAAAAACTATTGTTCCTCAATCCACAAAAAAATTGGTCTCCACCAAAAAAAAACTGAATCCTTAGTAAATTGATATTAACCCATATCTGTTATTCTGATTATGAATAATCACCTGAGGGTCACTCCGTAGAGATGCCACACCACCTCCTCCTAATACATCAGGCAGGACAAAGTTCATTCCATGTATACCAGGAACATAGTATCTAAAGTAATAAATACACTTGTTAAAATCTTTTAATATTCAGGTAAATCAAAAAGGATATGCAAGAACTTTACAATCCATTTTTAAAAAGTTTAAATAAAGATGATTTATCGCTCACATTTTAAGACCTATTAATGAATAGGTTATGTATCACTGAACTAATAATAGTCAAGGTTAGGTGACAACTATGAATAACTTATTATTATTATTACAAGGCATTTTTAAAGCGCATTATATAACACTATAATTACTCTAAGCGCTTTACATGTTAAAACAAATACACACAAGTTCGTACAAACACGAAACTACAAAGTTAAAAATAGACCAAAATATGTTTAAAAGCATACAACATCAAATCAACTATAAAAAGTTAAGACTCTAAAACTTCTTCAACTTGGTTAAAAATTAAATAAAAGAATTATTAATGAATAAGTAAAAATTTCAATACTTGTTATCTATATTAAATATTTCTAAAATTGGTGAATGCTACTACTATTTTGTATTTAAAAATAAGTTACTAAAAGACATAGGCTTATAATAAAATGTTATATCAAAATATACAGAAACACATCAAATCAGACTAAAATGTACTAAATATTACTATAGCAAATCAACATCAGTCAAATACAATCAATCACGGTTCCAGGTCTTTACTATAAGCGATCCACAAATGCAACTTTGAATAAATGCGTCTTTAGTCCTTTCTTGAATAGTTTTAGCGATTGTTCATTTCTAAGATTTGTTCGAAGGCTATTCCACAGAGTCCCAGCCGCCACATCAAACCTCCGTTCACCATACATTTTTGTCTGTGCATTTTTTGGCATCTCGATTAAAGCAGCATTTTCAGATCGCAAAGATCGTGCTGGTATGTAAAAATGTATGAGTTCACTCAGATACACAGGTGCAAGTCCATGCAAGGCTTTGAATGCGTAAAGCAACAGTTTATACTGGCATCAGAATTTAAATGGTAGCCAATGAAGAGTCATAAGTGTTGGAGTTATATGTTCAAACTTCTTTTTGCGGGTTACTAGCCTGGCAGAGGTGTTCTGGACACGCTGAAGTTTGGATAGACTCGAGGCATTCACACCATACATTAAAGCATTACCATAATCAAGTCGCAACGTAACAAGAGAGCATTCAAGAGTTTTACACAAACTAAGTCCACTGATTAGGAATTAACAACTTATAATTTATTCATTATTTATACATATTTGCACGATCTATAGGGGAAAAAAATATTATACGGGGTTAAAATAGTCTAGTAAATACTCAACTCATTAATGTAAACAGTCTTCAACAGTGTATTCAATTATCAATAACACTCATTAAAAGATATTGAAAAATTCCAGCCATTTTGCGATTTCAGCAGCCGACTCTTACTAGATATTTTTCTTTCAAACACATCCTCTTTTTATAAATTGTTCAGTTCATCAATTTTCAAGTTTCAGAAAGATTTTTAGAAAAAAAAAGCTAACAGAAATGAAATCTTAAATGGCTAATGTGGATTTTTAAAAGTAACAACTAGAATGACTCACCTCTGTACAGAAGCCGTAACTGGATCGTCAAATAAATGTGAAAAGTATTTCTGGACAGCTTCTGATGTTAACTGCTGCTTTAGGTAAGGTAATATGGCTGGATGTCTGGCTATCACACCTTAAACAAGGATAAAAAAAAAAGATGATAGCTGTAACTGGTGCTTTAAGTAAGGCAATATAGCTGGATGCGTCGCTATCACACCTAAAATAATGGAAAATGGTATATGATAACTGTATCACCTATTATATAGACTAAAGGTACAACATGTTTGGTTGATGTGTGGAGAACATCTCTGAACATAACAAATTTATCATTTTAGTTTACTGTAATATTTATATCATTTTTTACCTATATTACACATATTTCCTTTATCTCCACTCCTTGTGTAAGCCAGGTCCTCTAATCTGTATGACTTATTCCCTGTCTGTACTACTACTTCATCCAGTATGTTCTGTTCCTTTGCCTTTGGATAGTCAGCTACTGGAATATCCTGAGGTTCAAATTTTTCAACATGGTTGCCATTTAGGCTGATATCTATCTATAATTAAAAATCCAACATTTCTTTTTCACAAAAATGTACATACACAAACTAAGTCCACTGATTAGGAATTAAAGAGGGAGAGTTGAAATTAAAAAAAAAAGTTAAACCCAGGTACATCTGCATGTTCCTGTCTCAAATGTTTGGTTTTTTTTCATTTGGAGAACTAGATGTTGATTGTAGATCTTTGGTAATCTTTGTTCAATTAGATCTCTCGGAGACTTATAGCATAACATTATATAAATAACACATAGCTGAGAGGGTGATAGAGCAGATTGTTACCCCGAGAAAACATTGTCAACTGAGGCGAAGCCAAGGTTGACAATGTCTTTTTGAGGAGTAACAATCTGCTCTATCACCCTCTCAGATATGTGTTATTTAATTTATTATACAGAATGTTCTGTTATTACTGTCTATTAAATTTCAAATTCAAAGTAATAAACTATGTCGTCTTGTACATAACAATAATCCGTATTTATTAAAGCGCACACTTGAGCAAGTGTCTCCGTGAAGGGTAATAGAGTATTTGCCATGGGATAGAGTAAATTGTCTCCCTCGTATTAACCAATCAAAATCTGGCATTTTGACATGAAGTATAATAAATTGTATTGTCACCTGTCTATTGTAGAAGACAGTATGTTGGTCTTTTGTGCACTGTGTTATTGGGTAGCTGTATCATTGATACACTCCACATATCCTTTTATTTATTTTTATCAAAATTTAAATTTGATATAAATATAAAGCTGCTTTTAAATTAATCTAAACAATTCATTCTACTGTTAAAAGTTAATGAAGATTTGGAACAAGAAAAAATGGGGATACTCAGAAATGTCTCATTTGTGCTGAAATATTAAAATACTTTGTATCTTATACAAAAAAAGATAAAAAAGGTCACCACGCAATAAAAGGAGTTTGAAAGAGGGAGATCTCCTACTTTCCAGTTCCAAATGGTTTACCTGTAAGTAAAGTTTAAATGAGACATGCCACATTTGCAACTTGCAATCCTTCTAGAGAGTGAGAGAGGAATAAGATGGTGGATATCTATATAGCTCAAGATCTTCTCACATTAATGTAAACAATTTAATTATTTTTTATAGCGAGATTTTACATACATACCTCAATATCTTTTTTGGGATAAAGGAAGGAAAACAGTCTCAATATTGGTGATCTGTAAAAAAAAAGAAAAATTGAAGTTTGTTTTTGACACAATTTAATCAGTCCAAATTTTTCACATACATTTTTGTATGAAAACAGTTCAACTGATGTACACAAGTTACATGTAAGATGTTTAATCCATATTTTCTCATAAATATACATGTATAACTATTAACAAGAAGATTTTGTTCAAAACATTTACAAGTTTAACATTAACCCATATCCTTTAAATATATACATGTATGTCAAACAAATTTTGTTGTTTCAAAATAATAAACTTCTGTAAAGACCTGTTCTACAAGGAAAATTGCAGTAAGTGTTTTGTTTAAAGGTAGATTAATTGTATACCCCTTTCTTGGATTGTAAAATAGCAATACACAATCATTATAGTTCTTTGCTTAAAATTTTTGATACAGATTGGCATTTAATATGTAAGACTGTTATCATTTAGACTGCTTTAACAGATACCAAACATTTGTATTTGTTTGATTCAATTTTTCAAGTTATTCATATAAGGGGAGATAACTCTTTTAGAAAACTTTTTAAAGGAATGTCAAAGAAATTTTCATTCTTTACTTCAAGCAAGAAAAATTAGTTGACCGCATTTTTCCTTATATTTTTATATTTTATAAACCTATCTTCTCATATTTTATTTCAAAATTCTATCTCATAAATTTCTTTATAATCACAAAAAAATGTTTTTTCATGATTAATCTGTGCAAAATTGGGCAAATTTGCACGACTAATAGCTTGAAAAATAGGACAATGAACTTTACTCATTATCATATTTTTGAAAAAAGCATGGTAAAATCTTCATTTTGGAAAAGTATAAGAAAATTCTATCTCAGGAAATATATACATGTACTGTTGATCCATCTTGAACACAGACAAATTTACACTAGGCTAACTAGGATAACATTTTGAAAATGTCTGTTGTAAGTTACCATAATAAAATTACATGTATATTTCATAAGAACATTTGATTGGCTGAAAGCAATCATGAGGCATTCCAACATCGAATTGTATTCCGCAATAAAATTCAACAATCATGACAACACATGCTTCTCATGACTACTTCTTTACAATGCATTGGAAAAGAAACGGAAAATTTGCTATATCTGTAATTTCATTGTTGTACATAAAAATGTAATTATAAGAATTGAATGCTGCTTTTTGTAATTTTATAGGGTTGTAAAAGCCTTGATCCTGCACACATTTTTAAAATGTGCTTCGGTCAATGCTTTTACACCCCAATAAAATTACAAAAAGAAACATTTAATTCTTAAATAAAGCACAATGAAAACAATATGTACCAGTATTACATAACTTACACTCTAGGTCTGCCTCCAACCAGGCCTGTAAGTCCTGGAGCTATTATAATAAAGAATATCTAATGAGTTTAACACCAATAATTGAAATTTATTTCTATTGAGATTTACAGCAATAACTTAAAATTAAAACACTGTTTTTGTTTGGAAAAGAAGTTAGTTTTTAAAAAACATGTACTGAAAGGTCTAACAGAGATTGGTACACTTAAAACACATGCTTTAAATTATTTTTTTATGAACTTATATAAAAATTAAAATAGACAGATTACCAAATCTTTTTGTATAAAATATGAAGCCACTGAAGCAATGCCAACAACTGTTCTACATAACAAGCAAAAAGGCTTCACAATTTCTAACATGAAACTCTGCTACATATATAAGCTTTATTCAATCTTACATGTGACCTGGTTCCTTATAATGTGAGTTACCTACCCATGCCAGTACCAGCTGGAGCTATTTCTTTAGAAAAGAATTCTAAAGCTTTTTTCTGATGATGATGGACAGCTAACCACAATACTGATTCCCTGCTGCCCTGAAAGGAAAAAGTTAAAATTGTTTACAAACTAATTTTATTCAGTAACTTTTTTACTCCAGCAAAGTTGGACCTTTGATAGTTTTTGGTGTTTTTCTTTATGTCTATTGTTTTAGAAGTTCTTCAATGATCAATATAAACTCATCATAGATACCAGGATAACATTTTGTACGCCAGACGCATGTTTCGTCTACAAAATACTCATCAGTGACGCTTGAATAGAAAAAGTTAAAAAGGCAAAAAAAAGTAAGAAGTGGAGAGCATGGAGAGCCAAAAAAATAATATATTTGTTCTTGATATAGGAGGGTCTGGATTGCGGTTTTCATTTCTATATTCTTTAATTTTTTACAGGGCCAATTTTCGCGGATTTGGTGCGTATAGGTGAACCACAAATCTAAATGTTCAACAAAGTACCAATTTTCTCTAGGCTTCTAGGCAGACTTTGGCAAAACCACAAAAGAACATTTTTTCATCAATCCACAAAAATTGGTACCAATAAAAATAAAAATGAATCGACAGTATTTGCTCCACCTTTCAGCATTTTATTTTCAGTGATATTTGGTATGCCAGTACAGATTTTGTTGATCAGAGGAAATACAACTTCAGAATGACATATGGATTTATTTATATATGTGAGTACCAATTTTGGTGGATTAAAGACAAATTGTATTTTTTGTAGATATCTAATTTTGTAGTTTTGCAAATGTTTCATACAAGCCTATGAGACATATTTTCTTCGTTGAATATTCACATTCTTGGTTCAATTGTACGCAAGAAACCTATGAAAATTGAAACAAAAGAATAATATTGATCCATAGTATCAAAAAAAGTAAATTCTGAGTTAAAGAATAAATAAATAAAAAATTGTAAAATTACCTGTGGTAGATTGGTCATTGGTCCATAGTTATGCTCTGCACCCAAAACTTCAATATGTACTCTACTGAAATCTTCTAAACTTAACTGCTTGAATATTCTTCTACATCTGGAAATAAATAATGATTACAAGTACTGCAAGTTCCTTTAAGAAGTATTGGTTCAAATTAAATCAACAGATTTACGTATGATTTTACCGTATGCAAGCATGTATGATCTGCAGTCTTTTAATCTAAAATTAAAATAGCCAGGAAGGGGTGCAGATAATAGAGCACTACAAGCAAGAAATAAAGAGAAAAAGTTGATTTTGCGATGTTTGCTTAATTTCTGCCACATTTATTTTTGACATTGTAAGATTACCCTTATTTCTTTTCAAATATTACCGGGGATAATAATTTACCTAATCCATATCAATATGCAAATTTAATTAAAAAAATCCAATATTTACTGATAAATATTGAAATATAATGCATTCCAATGCATTACAAATTTCTCTTTCCTTATCACGCATTGCACAATAGTGTATTAACTACAAAATTTAATTGGTTATTCTTATTATTTATAATAAAAAATCACTTCTACATTATTGTACTTTTTTTAGGAACTAACTTCTAGCTGCATGATTTACTACGAGTTTAATATATTGTGGTGATTCCTAGGCTATGATGTCCCTGTCCCAGATACTCTAAGGTATGAACAAACTCCTTTACCCTGTTACATTAAATAAACTGTTAACACAGAGATATGTCTCGCCTATTTGTTATTTTGATAATGCAAATGTTGAAATTAAAATAGCAATACTTTAACGTGAGTGATGCAAATATTCAAAGTCAATGAACCATGACTGAAGGTACAGGGCTAAACAATCTCCATGGAAATGAGATGTGCCAATGCTAATACAACTGCAAACCAAATACCATTGACTTTTCATAAGTCGTTCCCTTTAAACAAACCTTAACACAAACATAAACTTGTAAACTATGTAAAAGTTTCAAAGTCAATGAACCATAATTAGGGGGGGGCTATATAATCTCCATGGAAATGAAACTTGCAAATGCCAATACATTTGCATACCAAATATCATTGACTTAACATAAGTGGTTCATCTTAAACTGACCTAATCACAAACTAACACATGTAAACTAAGCAAAAGTTTCAAAGTCAATAGACCATGACTGAGGGGTAAGGATCAAATATTCTCCATGGAAATGAGATATGCTAATGCTTATACAACTGCATACCAAATATCATTGACCTACCACTAGTGGTTACCCATAAACTGACCTAATCACAAACTAATACATGTAAACTAAGCAAAGTTTCAAAGTCAATGGACCCTGACTGAGGGGGCAGGGCCAAATAATCTCCATGGTAATGAGATGTGCCAATGCTAATACAACTGCATACCAAATATCATTAACCTACCACTAGTGGTTCACCATGAACTAGACCTAATCACAAACTAATACATTGTTGACGGCGCTGCTGCCGCCGGAAACAGCATACCTATGTCTCGCTTTTTTTACTCCATCAAGCAGAGACAAAAATTGTCTGTCCAAAGTAAGGAAGTCGTAAAGCGACTATTGTGAACACCAGGGCAACTAGATATCGCTTTTGACGGTAGGGCAAAGCGAAGTGACGGACGGGAAAGCAACTTTGTCGCCCCTGTCGCCTGCTAGCGTGAGCCGTGTTTATTATGATTAAATTTTGTAAAACCTGGTCGCAGACCGACACAATATACCATGGTGTTGTAAGGGAAATGATAAACCCTAACTACAAGGAAAAGATTTTTTTCTTGAAAATTCTTTAATATCAACTTTGCTGTAACTTAAAGTGTGTTCACCTTTTAATAATTTGATCTGCTGTTTTCTCTCCTTTTTGTTTGGTATTAGGACCTCCCATGATTGCCACAGCTGTTGATCTATAACCATCTGCATAAGTTGCACTTGCCTGAAAATGATATAAACATTAAATTATATCTTATCAGTGATTCTTATAGTCTTTGTATCTTTCAATTAACCTCATCATAGATACCAGGTTTAAAATTTTGTACACCAGGCACACATTCTGTCTACAAAAGACTCATCAGTGACACTCAAATTTAGTTAAAAGCCAAATAAAGTAAAAGTTGAAGAGCATTAAGGTTACAATCAACCATTAAATATCATGGGCGCAGCAATTTTATGAAGATAACATGGTATTCAGAATTAAGAGTATGGCTAATCATGATTGGTCAATATGTGCACCCGTTATTTTTTTTTTATTAGAGAATTCTTGCACTCTGCATTATACCAAACGCAAAATAATATATTTTCCTTAGCCCTAACGGAACTGAGATGTGTTTTCAATGCCAGGATGAGACACATGTTTTTAAGTGCAAAATTGATAGGCAAGGGAGATAAGTACAAATTACGTTAAGAAAAGCAACGGGAACCTATATTTTTTGGACCAACAAATCATGTCCGACTAATTTTTCTTTAATTCTAACAAGGTTTTGTTAAAAAAAAATCAACTTTATAAAGTCTGTATCTCTGTAAAGGCTATCATTGTCGCCTATGGGGAAATAAATTGTTTATTGCAGTCCTGATCTGACTTACACTATGTCATGTCATCAGTTCAGAAACAAGAAAATCCTGATATTATAAGACAGGGATATTGAACTATAAAACTCAGACCCTGGTAATTTGACATGTTAGAGTAAAATGGCATGGATAAGTAACTACAAATGAAAACACTTCCCAGCATAAAAATAGGGAGATAGACTAAGTTGCCTTACCTTATACTGACTAGTTGGTGGTTTTCCTTTGGCTCCTGTAACAAACACTGCAGCTTCATCAGTTCCTGCTATCAAACAAAATAAAAAAACTTTTTTAAAAAGAGATCAACAAATTATTTATTTTAAGAGTAAAGACATATAATGATATTTCTGATGTCTGCTTTAAAAGTTCAACATATCACCATAGAAATATATCTAAACAACTAGTTAACATGATGTCTTAAGTAAACTTAAGGAGTGTACATAGGTTGAGGACATAACTCTTAAAATCAATAGAACGTTTGTGTCAACCTTTGTCATTAGTACATTGAAGGCTTTTTAGTAACATAGAAAATAAGATTATTTCTATATCTGTTTAAAGTGAACATTTTTAAAAGCCTGGTTGAAACTAGCTATTTTAAACACATACAAAAAATTTTAACCACAGACTGAACTTAAATGTTGACAATGCCAACTTTAACAGAATGTAGGATCCTTTCTCTCGCTACCTCTAACAAAATGTTTCTGGCTTAACAAAAGTCATCTAACTTGTTGCTTAAAATTCCAATAATCAAATGGTGGTTAAGATTAGATTACTATAGTAACTTTTCCAAAACAGGATTTGCTATGCAAATTTCTATTTGTTGAAAAATCACGGGCTCAGACAAACACATAAATGTTTAGCCTCATGTACATTTTTTTTTAAATTTCAGACCAAATCAACCACCAACATCTCCCAAAAAAATGTTCAAAAGGACAAAACATGGTCCAGATATCCTGACTTGGTACTGAATGAACAACATGAACATGATAAACATATATTAATCTAACAATATTGAAAGATGGAACAAAAATTTGTTCATATATGAAGACCCTAATATTTTAATTTACAATATCATCTGGTGACTAGAAGCCAAATGGTGCATGTAACTTACAATTAATTTCATCTAATTGTACTTGGGTAAAATCACAGACAACATCAGGAAGAAAATAATGTGCTGGATCACCGATCTCATATACCAACTGTTCACTAACTGTAGCTTCATTGATTAATCCTCCAGTTCCTCGTGGTTTAGTTACAATAAAATCACCGTTAGCACTGCACTCTACCACAGGAAAACCTATATGTTCCCTGTAAAAATTTAAAAGTCATTAACTAGAGGCCCCTAAGAGCCTCATACTCACATTGAACTTTTCTTTTTTATAAAAGAGGCTTTCTTAAATCTTTATTGAAATATACATTTATCTGTTTTTGTTCCTTCAACGAGAAATCTTAAAATATGTTCATATTCTTATACAGAGTGCTACTTAGTCATGTTAGATGATTCAGAGAAGTAATCTGAAGACTGACCAATCAATATCAAAAATTTCCTCTTCCAAATTATTGCCAAAATTCACAAATTTCTATTGAAAGGACTTATCATACATTATAACTATCAAGATGGATATGTTCAAAGTCAGCATATGACAGATGACAAAGACAGTGGCAATGGATCAAATTGGTCTTTAATGGAGCTACATTTGTGTATGTTTTAACTGGCAACAAGTTTGACCTTATACCCAAATGTTAACAGTACCCTGCAAGCTTTTATTTAGAAAACATTTTGATTGAAATTAAAAAAGTATTTTTTTCATTGTCTTCTAAGAAATTCCCCATGTAAATAAGTTTGCAGTCTGTAAATGATTTACTCACCAATCAGGGACTGTTTTCCAGTCTGTGAATATTCCACCAGTTACTTGTGCACCACACTCTATCAGATGTCCAGCCAAGCTGTAAGATTCAAATGCTGATTTTTTTTATGTACCCATGTTTCAAGTGGTCAAAATTGTATTTCCTTTGATATATTGATATTTATGAAATAACATTTTCATACAATGCTCTTTGCTCATTTTAACATGGGTAGGTTTTATATTTGTCCACATCTTTACAATGAGCATTTAAACTTATTGTTATTGAAGTGAAGTTAGCAATTTATACTGACATTTTAAAATGATATAATGCCATTGTCAATTTTCAGAGCACTGATAGTTACGTTAAACACCTACAATTAATCAATCAGTCAATCTAAACAATTAATCTCGAGAGTTATCTGATGAAGAAACATTTGTCTTGCACCATAACATTGGGATCACAAGTTCACATATTATGTTTTATATAGAAATACAAACCTGCCAGCAGCTAAGTGGTCAAAATCAGTCATATTCCATTGGAACTGTAATAAAAAGTAAACAGTATACTGTAAGAGTTTTTACCACTTCTATATACCGGTACACATTTTTATAGTTCTGTATTTGAAACATTGCCATCCTCAAATGAGATTTGATAGCTATAAATGAAGTTTTATTGGTGATGCCGAACTTGGCTGCTGTCAATTCAGGATTTGGCAGTTACAAATGCAGTTTTACAGGGGAAATGGAACTGAGCAGGCAAAACTGATATTTGCAACCATCAAATCATAAAATGACAATATAAAACAAAATTTCAAGTGTTGATGGCAAATCTCTGGTAGTATCTTGTTAATTTGTACTCTTTGCATATAGTGTTCAACTCTAGTGATTTAGAGCTTGACATATATATATATATGGTAGTACCATTTGTCTTTTGTATCAAACCAAATGTTGATCTTTAGATTTTCATCTTGGACTTAGTACTGTTTGGTTGCGGTGTGATTGACATCATCTCCTTTTATACATCTCTAAATTGCAAATATTTTTAACAACACCACATAGTACGTGTTGACCCCAGAGAAATAACACAAATCAATACAAAGGAACAATATCTCAAAGGTTAGTGTAGAGAGATTTTCAAAGCATGTGATCACCTTACATTGTGCAGCAGGGGTCCAAGAACTAAAGCACTGTCCACACATCTGCCAGTTATAACAATATCCGCACCAAGATCCAAAGCTCTAGCTATTGGTCCAGCTCTTCAAAACAGAAACAGTAATTTATATATCAGCAAACATGTAAAAAGAACATTTGTAACTCTGACTGTTTAAAAACAAGCAGAAGCTGTTTTCTGCTCATTGGTCGGGTTGTTGTCTCTTTGACACATTCCCTGTTTCCATTCTCAATTTTAGATGTGGTGTAATTGCCAATGAGACAACTATCCAACAGAGATCAAATGATCTAGATGTAAGCAACTATCATGACTATTGGTCACTGTACAGCCTTCAACAATGAGCAAAATGTTTTCTTTGCTTATGATATGTTTTGACACATAGTTCTCATTCAAAGATAATGTATTTTTTAGATGACCAAAACTTTAACCTGTCATATTTCCATGATCAGTGAAGTGTGAAATATGGGTCAAAACCCTAATATTTAAAAATTGTTGACTTCATAACATGTACAATAAGTTTCAAATTTTTAGTTTGATCACAAACTATCGTAAACCAATACTTTAATGGATTAAAGAACAGAGGGATGCACAGACAGAAAACATAAAGCCACTTTACTATCATAAGCATGGCATACTAATCAGAGATAGAAATATTAATTCAATGTTAATTATTTATTTTCAACATTTATATGTTTGCATAATTTTAAGTTATCAAACATATAAGTGGAGAAAATGAGAATGCACAAAAGGAATCTTCAATCTTTCTGACAAAATTAGACAAATTATAAAACTCAATGACTAGATCTTGTGCACTTACGAAATATTTTTTGTTTCCTAATCAGATAAGAGGCCACATCACAGCCATTGTGCATGTCACAATAATTCAATCCTGACATGCAACAAAATAGCATATTTCACTCAACTACTACTAAATATCTTCTTAAGATCTTTTCTTATTTTTGTTCACTTTATTCACAATATTTATAGTCTTCTGAGTTTGAACATTTAGAGCTTGTCATATTGTATATACTCCTGTTAGACATTGGACATGCCGTCTTCAACAATAGAGTCAACCAAGTCATAATCGTGGTGTAAGTAAAACTTTCTAACAGATGACCTCATTTTACCATTAAGAATTCTTTATTCAATAAAAGGTTCCATGTAAGCAGAAAACCACTATCAAAGAAATCCTGACAAGAATCACAAGCCTTAAAATAAGCCTTGTGAAATGAACCTTTTGATTTGTGGGCATTAAAGAGGATAAGATTATAACACTTTGATATCTGGAAAGTACAGATTAACAGAAATCAAAAAATGTTTTTCGGCCATGTCTGCCATATTTGTTTTTCATTAATGTTCTTAGCACAAATCAGGTTGTTCGCCTTCTCTTTTGAATTGTTTCACATTTTTTCATGCACAGCCTTTTAATGCTTACTATACAGCTAGGGTAAGAGTTTTGCTCATTGTTGAAGGCAGTACAGTGATGGTCAGTAACCTACAATTGTTTACATCCATGTCATTTGAAATTTGGTGAAAAGTTGTTTCATTGGCAATCATACCACATCTCCATTATTTTTCTATTTAGAGTGAATACCCTTTTATGTAAATTACTTTATGTAATAAGAAACTTACCCTAAATAGGCATTCATACTGTGTATAGTCTTTGGAAATGGTTCACCTGAATCCATATCAGTTATTGAACTGTCTATCAATTCTTTGGTCTGAAATTAACAATAAAATACTACACAAAGGCAAGAAGAACTAGAGGCTCTAAAGAGCCTGTGTCGCTCACCTTGGTCTATGTGCATATTAAACAATGGACACAGATGGATTCATGACAAAATTGTGTTTTGGTGATGGTGATGTGTTTGTAGATCTTACTTTACTGAACATTCTTGCTCCTTACTATTATCTCTATCTATAATGAACTTGGCCCAGTAGTTACAGTGGAAAATATTTTGTAAAAATTTACAAAAATTTACAAAATTTATGAAAATTGTAAAAAATTGACTATAAAGGGCAATAACTCCTTAAGGGGTCAATTGACAATTTTGGTCATGTTGACTTATTTGTAGATCTAACTTTGCTGTACATTATTGCTGTGTACAGTTTATCTCTATTTATAATAATATTCAAGATAATAACCAAAAGCTGCAAAATTTTCTTAAAATTACCAATTCAGGGGCAGCAACCCAACAACATGTTGCCTGATTGGTCTGAAAATTTAAGGGCAGATAGATCTTGACCTAATGAACAATTTTATACCATCAGATTTGCTCTAAATGCTTTGGTTTCAGAGATATGAGCCAAAAACTGCATTTTACCCTATGTATTATTTTTTTGCCATGTCGGCCATCTTGGTTTGCGGGCAGGGTCATCGGACACATTTTTTAAACTAGATACCCTAATGATGATTGTGGACAATTTTGGTTAAATTTGTCTTAGTAGTTTCAGAGGAGAAGATTTTTGTAAAAGATTACAAAAATTTACGAAAAATGGTTAAAAATTGACTATAAAGGGCAATAACTCCTTAAGGGGTCAACTGACCATTTTGGTCAAGTTGACTTATTTGTAGATCATACTTTGCTGAACATTATTGCTGTTTACAGTTTATCTCTATCTATAATAATATTCAAGATAATAACCAAAAACGGCAAAATTTCCTTAAAGTTACCAGTTCAGGGGCAGCAACCCAACAACGGGTTGTTCGATTCATCTGAAAATTTCAGGGCAGATAGATCTTGACCTGATAAACAATTTTACCCCATGTCAGATTTGCTCTAAATGCTTTGGTTTCAGAGATATAAGCCAAAATCTACATTTTACCCCTATGTTCTATTTTTAGCCATTGCGGCCATCTTGGTTGGTTGGCGGGGTCATCGGACACATTTTTTAAACTAGATACCCCAATGATGATTGTGGCCAAGTTTGGTCAAATTTGGCCCAGTAGTTTCAGAGGAGAAGATTTTTGTAAAAGTTTACGGACGACGGACGCAGGACGACGGACGACGGACGCAAAGTGATGAGAAAAGCTCACTTGACCTTTCAGGTCAGGTGAGCTAAAAATGTACAAATGTTTTTTAATTTTAGTTCATTTATATGTTTTGGGGTTTAGCGTGACGTCCATTTTCACTGAACTAGCACACAATTTTATTTAGGGGCCAGCTGAGGACCACCTCCGGTTGCGGGTTTTTTCTCACTGCATTGAAGACCCATTGGTGGCCTTCGGCTGTTGTCTGCTCTTTGGTCGGGTTGTTGTCTCTTTGATATATTCCCCATTTCCATTCTCAATTTTATATAGAATTCCCTGAAAAGATTTTTACCATATGCAGTCAATGATTATAGTCTTGTTTTAGATATTAAAGTTTCTGCAGAATTTTTATGGCATTATGATAGAGTAAGAGTTCGCAGAAATCTTTTAATGTCATAAATTTCCATATTAATATTCTCTCCTGAAAAGTATGAATCTTCATTATATATAGGGAAAATCATACTTTAGTCTCTATTTGAAGTTTATTTTTCATTCATCATGAAACAGTTTAAGAAAAAAATCTTCTCAGATTTCTTCTGCTTTCTTACAAATAATTTTGTTTATCCAAAGGAACATATTTCATACATCTAAAGTGTAATAGTATCTGCTTTATACCTTAGGCATTAAGTCATCACCAGTTACAACAGCAATATTCATTTCAACACCGACTGAAGCACATATCTGTCTTAAAGCATCAGCACAGGACTGTGGATTAACCCCTCCAGCGTTACTTATAACTTTTATACCTATAACACAAAGAGTTGTATATTGTAAAAATTCATCAAAGATACCAGGCTTATAATATATGTATGCCAGATGAGTATGTTGTTTACATAGAGACTCATCAGTGTTGCTCCAGATGAGTATGTTGTCTACATAGAGACTCATCAGTGTTGCTCTAATCATAACAGTTGTAAGTCCAAATCAATTACTAAATTTATAAGTAAACCAGGAAATTTTCTAGGCAGGTTGTATTTTAGTTAATTTCAGGGAAAGAGCTTGGAAGCAAAAATAAAACTGCAAGTAATAATTGAAGGAGAGCCGTTCCTAACATTACTGTTGTAAATGAGATGCATTTTTAATGCAGTCAACAAACACTTACCAATAAAACCTTATACATGGAATAACTACAAATTGTATTTCTTATATTGACTTATATATTTTGATTTCCAAAAGAGTCCAGTACAAATGGTGACCTGAATAGATGTAAATTAAATTGTCCTATTGCTTAGATAAATATTGCTCTCTTATTGGCAATAAAACGACAGTCAATCATTTATTTGTTATAGAATTTTACCTTTTGACTTGATATCTTTGATAAATGGTGCCATACAAATCTGTACAAAATCAGGTGCATACCCTAAATTCTACAATAAAATACATTATAATAATTTACTGTATAGATTTGTATAGTGTGCTGTTAATGTACTTACTAGTATTGGTGAATATTGTCCAAAATAAAAATACAACAATATATATGTTGTGTACAAGATGTAAGTTTGTACAAATTATAATTTGTACAGGATTTTTGTACAAGTTATAAGTTTTTTGACACATACCTTTTTGCACCAGGTGATAAAACTTTATCTTCTAAAATTTATCAGCTTTATGTCTTAAATTCAAATCTATATACTTCAACCTAACATTTAGTGCTATTCTCATTGTCCTCAAACTGGAAATAAGTACACCTGAATGGTTTAAATTCTATTTTTATTTTTCTCCTTGTACCAAAATCATATTCATAAAAAGTCTTTTTGTGTTCTTATAATGTTTTTTGTAGCAATGCTCAGTATTAGACTATGTCATATAGTCATGGAAATATAACAGAAATATGCAAAACAGAAGACTGTGTGCTTGTATCATCCATTTGTGTTAAGCAGTTCATAAAACACTGATAACTTGTACAAAAATTCTGTACAAATTGTAATTTGTACAACATTACAATTTGTACACAACATATACATGATATATAACTGCCATAAAATATTACAATTGAATTTTTAAGCCATATTTCTATGTAAAAAACTAAATGCTATTAATGGGTGTGTTTTACATGAAATATTATAATGCTATGTTATCATTCCATAACAAGAACATTCAATTGTTTTACAAGTTCATGACAAGGAATGTGTGATGGCTGATTTCATTAGAATCAGTTGGAAGACTGAAAATTTAGCCATCTACATGTGTTTTCTCATGACTGCCATCAATTCCATTATTAAATGTAAAGAAAGGTAAAAGAGACCATTGAACTAAAATAGAAGAATGTTGCACTCACCAGTTTCATATTTAACTTTTAAAAAATTTCAAAACAACAACGGAACAAGTTTGTATACTTATTGTGATAGAATAATTTTGCATAAAAAAATATCTTTCTAAAGACATGAAAGATTTTTAACAGAAATATTTTAAACTTCACATTTGAAAACCATAAACATTGCTGTATTTAATAACAAACAAATCAAAATATTTCCATAATTCATAAGTATACATCTTGCACAACACTCTGTGTCTTACTTACAACCCTTATGCAATGTACCTTATTGTATAGTAATGCTTCTTCTAGTCATAAGAAGAACATATGTTAACATCCAGTAGCTGCAAGGAGCTCAGCTTGCATCACTTGCCAAAAACTTGGTTTCTGTTTATCTTTTAAATCTTATATTTCATGTGGAACTGGTTTGATTTATTTTTCTACTTGTTATCATCTTGATCATGCTGACATAAATAAAATATTTGCCACTGAACATTAAGCATACATTATTGTTTAGGGGCCAGCTGAAGCCCACTTCCGGATGTGGGATTTTCCTCGCTGTGTTGAAGACCCATTGGTGGCCCTGGGCTGTTTTCTTCTCTTTGGTCGGGTTGTTGTCTCATTGACACATTCCCTGTTTCCATTCTCAATTTTATAGTACCATTAATACTTTATATTAAATAAGTTAGCAAGAGACAATCAACAACAGTTGGACTCAAAATAGCCCTGCACTTGCCAAAAAAAAACATAAATAAGACTTTTACCTTTCCATTCTGTTTAATGTGCCAGTAAAGAATTCACAAGATAAAAGTACAAAATTAGACACCATTTGAATAATTGTAGATAAGATTGGTAACAATTGGCTAAAAAAAATTGTAGATGGAGCAATTTTATTTCTTGACTTTTCGAAAGCCTTCAATTCCTTAGAATGGGAGTTTATGTACAGTGCATTAAGAAAATTTGGTCTACAAAATTCTATTATAAATTGGATACAGACCTTATATACAACAAGAAATGATTGTAACAGGATGCTGTTACGAAGTCTCCCAAAGGAAGATCCCATAATTTGAAATTTCCAGTGTCGCCTGACATTGGACAAAGTCCAGTGAAAATTGGTTTGGTCCAGTAAAGTATATGCATTAGTGATGCCTGAGGACTAACCCTGTATATCATTCAAATCATCTTGGCATGACAAACCAGAATATATATGGTTTAGGGGTGGGGATCTCGACCATTTACAAGATACTAGAACATTGGGGGTGGGGGGAACCCCTGGGGACTGACCCTATACATCATTCAAATGTTCGAGACACGACGAACAGGAATATATATGGTTAAGGGGTGGGGATCTCGACCATTTACAAGATATTAGACCATTGGGGGTGGGGGGAACCCCTGGGGACTGACCGTATACGTCATTCAAATGTTCGAGACATGATGAACAGGAATATATATGGTTTAGGGGTGGGGATCTCCACCATTTACAAGATATTAGAACTTTCTCAAATGGCAGGGGGTCGGGATGACCCCTGGGGACTAACCCTGTATTTCATTTGATGTGCTTTATCATGACAAACCAGAATATATATGGTTTAGGGGTGGGGATCTCCACCATTTACAAGATATTAGAACTTTCTCAAATGGCAGGGGGTCGGGATGACCCTTGGGGACTAACCCTGTATATCATTCAAACCATCATAGCATGACAAACCAGAATATATATGGTTTAGGGGTGGGGATCTTGACCACTTACAAGATATTAGAACTTTCTTAAATGGCAGGGGGTGGGGGTGACCCCTGGGGACTAACCCTGTATTTCATTTGATGTGCTTTATCATGACAAACCAGAATATATATGGTTTAGGGGTGGGGATCTTGACCACTTACAAGATATTAGAACTTTCTTAAATGGCAGGGGATGGGGGTGACCCCTGGGGACTAACCCTGTATTTCATTTGATGTGCTTTATCATGACAAACCAGAATATATATGGTTTAGGGGTGGGGATCTCCACCATTTACAAGATATTAGAACTTTCTCAAATGGCAGGGGGTAGGGATGACCCCAGGGGACTAACCCAGTATATCATTCAAACCATCTTAGCATGACAAACCAGAATATATATGGTTTAGGGGTGGGGATCTGGACCATTTACAAGATATTAGAACTTTCTTAAATGGCAGGGGGTGGGGGTGACCCCTTGGGACTAACCCTGTATTTCATTTGATGTGCTTTATCATGACAAACCAGAATATATACGGTTTAGGGGTGGGGATCTCGACCATTTACAAGATATTAGAACTTTCTCAAATGGCAGGGGGTCGGAATGACCCCTGGGGACTAACCCTGTATATCATTCAAACCATCTTAGCATGACAAACCAGAATATGTATGGTTTAGGGGTGGGGATCTCAACCATTTACAAGATATTAGAACTTTCTCAAATCGCAGGGGGTCGGGATGACCCCTGGGGACTAACCCTGTATATCATTCAAACCATCTTAGCATGACAAACCAGAATATGTATGGTTTAGGGGTGGGGATCTCAACCATTTACAAGATATTAGAACTTTCTCAAATGGCAGGGGGTCGGGATGACCCCTGGGGACTAACCCTGTATATCATTCAAACCATCTTAGCATGACAAACCAGAATATGTATGGTTTAGGGGTGGGGATCTCAACCATTTACAAGATATTAGAACTTTCTCAAATCGCAGGGGGTCGGGATGACCCCTGGGGACTAACCCTGTAAATCATTCAAACCATCTTAGCATGACAAACCAGAATATATATGGTTTAGGGGTGGGGGTCTCAACCATTTAAAAGATATTAGAACTTTCTTAAATGGCAGGGGGTGGGGGTGACCCCTGGGGACTAACCCTGTATTTCATTTAAAGTGCTTTATCATTTAGAACATTTTCAATTAAAAAGATTGTGTCTATCACAAACGGTTTTCAATTTATAATCATTTGAAAATTTAAAAAAATAAAATCCCATAGGGTTCTATAGTAAAACCCTCCTTTCTTTTTGCCCCTCAAAGTACCCCTTTATAAACCCCAATGCACAAACAAAACCCTGATTGCACCACTAGACATGTTAGTCTAGCATATTGTGAAACCCTAAGTTAATCTGACAAGCGGTTTTGGAGAACGGGTGCGGACAAGTTCAAATTTAAAAGCGGCGGAAGAGGAAGAAGAAGAAGAAGAAGAAGAATAATAATAATAATAATAAGAACTGAGCAAAACCAATAAGTCTTCCCAAACTTCGTTTGGGAGACTTAAATATTAAAGGATGTGTAACAAACAATGGTTGGATCTCTGCACCCTTTGACAAGGCTGTCCGGTCAGCGCGATTATTTTCGTGATGGCAGTAGAAATCTTAGCATGTAGACTAAGACAAGATAACAATATAAAAGGTATACAAATCAAATTAGATAAAAAAACGCATAGTTTAAAATTAACTCAACTAGCAGATGACACAACAATTTTTGTTAAATCAAAAAAAGAAATTAAAGTAGCCCTAAACATAATAGAGATATTTGGTTCTTTATCTGGTCTTAAACTGAATAGAGATAAAACAGAAGGTATTTGGTTAGGAAATCTTAAAAGTAGTAGGGACAAATATGAAAATATAAACTGGTCAACAAAGCCAATAAAATGCTTAGGAGTATACTTTGGACATAATAAGATCGAATGTGAAAAACTAAACTTAGAAAAACAGTTAACTAAATCAGAGAAAATTATCAAAGATTGGTCTAAAAGACAACTTACTATCTTAGGCAGAATAACGGTTGTAAAGTCTTTAATAGTGCCAAACTTAACCTTCTTAGCATCACTAATCAATATTAATAAGGAATGCATATCAAAATTTAAAAAAATAATATTTAACTTTATCTGGGACAATAAAAGAGAAAAAGTGAAAAGATCTGTTGTTTGTACAAATTATGCTAATGGAGGATTGAATATGATTGATATAGATAAATATATTGAATCTTTAAAATATAATTGGATTAAAAGACTAGTTAACAATGATGATATGTTACCAAACTGGAAAGTTATTCCTCAATTCTACTTCGATAAACTAGGAAAAAATTACTTAATCTTCTACATGAACATAGATAAAACACAAGACATAGAGAATTTGAAAAATAACGTAACTCCTTTTTACTTAGAAATGATTAAAACTTGGGTGAAATGGAAAAACAGTAGAATAGAAAATTTTCCAAATAATTTTATTGAAATAAGAAAACAAATAACATGGGGAAACAAATACATAAAATTAAACGGTAAATGTCTAGTCTATAATCAATGGATTAAAAATAATATAATATATATTAATGATATCCTAGATGATAACGGGGATATTTCTCAAAATTTGATATTAAAAAAACTATCATCTCATTGCAATTGGTTCTCAGAATATACAAAACTAAAAAAGGCAATACCAAAACAATGGTTAAATTTACTTAAGGATGAAAAATCAAAGCAAACAAAAGTTTACTTTAATAAAAAACTAGAAATAGTAAGTAAAAATCATAAAAAGTATGAGTTACAAAAAGTAACAACAAAAGATATATATAATATACTCATACAATCTAACAAAGAAACACCAATAGGTTTTGCAAAGTGGAAAAATATGTTGCAAGTTGATGATATTTATTTGAAGATAAAACACAATTTACTGTTTGTATTTAAATACCTAAAAGATAATAAATTGAAAATATTGAGGTGGAAATTGTTACATTGGATATTACCCTGTAAACAAGTATTAGAAACTTGGAAAATAGTTGATACTTCTTTATGTAATATATGCAATGTTAATGAGAATTATGAACATTTCTTTATCACCTGCAAATATTTAAAAAAATTTTGGGAAGGTATTAGATTAATTCTTAATAAACTTAAAATTGGATATCATATCATAAGCTTAGAAAACCTAATACTTGGATATAAAATAACTGATGAAAAGTATTATGAAATTAATTTTTTTATAACAATAGTATTATTTAGTATAAATAAAGCATACTATTTGTCAAATAGAAAAGAAAAAGAAGTAAATGTGTTCTCTATTTTTAAATATGAATTTCTGTCAAGAGTAAACCACTGCAAAGCAATGAAACAAGAAGTAAGCTTTATGCAACAGCAAATTGCAAGTATTTTAGATAAAACTTGTATAACTGATTAATACAACTACATGTTCGTGACACTAACGAGCAATAGTTATATACTCACAAATTGTGTAATAAAATCCCAACAACATGGTTTTGTTATGTATTACTTATATAGGACGATTTATTAATAAATTAAAATATACGGAAAAGCACTGTTATATTTCCGGAAAATTGTAAATTGTAATTTATATTTATGTACTTAGTTCATAGTATTGGTATGAATAGGTAACCCTAGACCTATTATTTATAGTACTTAGGGCTTCTAAAGAGAAAGCTGTATCCTTAGAAGATTTATAAACAGCTTTAAAGAAATAAAGTATAATATGTTTAAAAAAAAAAAAAAAAAATTTCAAAAGAATTAATAATATATTTTTCCATAAACCAATAAAGCCAATATTTGTAAAAGTTAATGTTAAGTAATAATAAGTAACCATCTTGAGGGTCTTCAGATATTAAATTTGGAAGAACTCTTCTTTCTAGAAATATTCTAGTTATACCAATTGTGCCTATCTTCGGTTATGGGTAGGCATATGGGGTTCTCAGATATATATCTTATTCTCCAAAATATAGCCAAAATCTGAGAAAATCATAAATGACCAAATAAGACGTTTGCTGGTTTATGTGAAATTAATGAAGGGAATAGCAATTTACAGTTATATATAATTAATAGGAAAAAAATTAAAACTCAGACCCTCTTTACCTTGGTTTCTTACATTTCAAGCTTACTGTTTCAACTTGCATATGTGCATGAAAGTTGTGATCAGTATCTTCCATAGATTTGATTTACATTAGTTAAAATGGTGAATTATCATTTCTTTTCAGTGTATCCATGGCAACGATCTGCATTTATTCACTATAAAATATTGCAAAAAGGGTGTCAAGATGTCACAAATTATTCCAAATTATACTATAGTAAACTATAAAAGGACTTAGGTTCTGATATCACAAACTATAAAACAATTGACATGAGAAAATCAAACCAATGACTTGATGTCAGATAAGACATCTGGAACAAATATGAAACTATAATGTCCCTAAGATTAATAATGGCTTGTGTTTTCAGGGGATTTCTTTTTTCAAACATCATGAATGAAAGATGGTAATTAACAGCAGTATCTAAATATGAGCTTAAAGGGATATGTAAATGAAATCTACTTACAGGATACTTATGTTTAGCTGAAATTAACAGAGACATTGTGATCTCTGACAGGTAATCAAACACCAGATAGTCTATCTTTGTACCATAGATCAATTGAGGGGCTAAAAAATAAAACATAAGTTATAGAAAGTCTATGTTTGTACCATAGATCAATTGAGGAGCTAAAAAACATAAACTAATTCTAATAAATGAAGAACAAAATTTAAACAAACAGAGATCGGGTATAAAGTTTTATTCTAAATCAAAATAGAATGTCACTACATCATGCTATTTTCCTGACAATACAAGCCAATTTTTGTAGGAGATGCCAAAGCATCATTGTGCCTTTTCTTCATTCTGTTTAAGACAGGTTTATTATCTTGTCAATCATTTTAAATGGCTTTTAATTTGTCAATTTTTCTAAATTTTCATAAACCTGCATATCTTTTTAGTAAATCAGATTACAGCTATTCATCTTTTGGAAAAGGAGATGGGGTATGATTGCCAATGAGACAACTATCCACCTGAGTTTAAATGAAGCAGATATAAGCAACAATGAGCAATTATCATGATTATAGGCCTGGCTGAAAGGGCCTTCAACAATAAGAATAACCCAAACTGTATAGTCAGCTATAAAGCCCAGACATGAAAAATATGAAACAATTCAAATGAGAAAACTAATGTCTAATTTATAACAAAACAATTTACAGGGTTAAACTTAAACATGTTTGTGAGCCGCTCAACCCTCCCCTAATCTAGGACAGTGGGGTAACAGCACATCATAAGAATAAACAGTGAAAACAGTTGCTATTGGCTTAACTCAAAAGGTTGGTATGAGACACAAAAACAACTAACAAACATAAAAACAATAGTCACAAAGCACCGAAATAAAAAGTACTCGCAGTAACTGAAATCAAAGCCAATTACAACTAATAAATAAATCATGTTCTCCCAGACTAAAGTATTAACCAGTACACACGTCATCCAACGGATTTAGTTTTAAGACTCATTAGAATTCATTGCTGATGCATCGTAAAAGCAACAGAGCAATCAAAAATCAATCAATTAAATATTAAACTTCATAACCAGTCTGAGAAATGCATCATGACCTTGTGAACTTGTTTGTCAATCAAAAATCTTGAAATTTAGCTTTATTTGTATATGGCCTTGCTCTTTGCTAGAATCATAAAATGATATGGATTTTAATGAAAAATTCTAAAGTTAAAATTTGGGGCGTTTCTTCATGGGACGAATTGACCTTATACAACCTTTGAACTCTTACCAGCCACAGCTGTATCTCCCCAAAAACCGCAGGCACATCCTATTCTGACTGTTTTGCCTTGCAGTATTTGGGAGGAAAATCTTAAGTGTGTTACTCGTATTTTTTCTGGTGCAATTAACTTCGAAATAGCACCAGAAATTCTCCTGAGGTGCCTGAACCCAGTCATGTTTGTTTTTGTATTAGCCCCCAAACCGGAAATGGTTTGTTATTTCAGAACGCATGCTCTGTACATCACATGATTAATTTATACATCAACTTGTCAATATGGACGACAGCTCAGACGTCAAAACAGAACTATTTCCTTTTAAACAAAATGTAGCTATTTTTTTGGCACTTAATTATATATTTTGTAGCTGATTGAAAAAAATCTAAAAATGGCTGAGATAGCTGAAACGGTGTATGGAACTAACGAGGAGGGCCATGTCATGTCGGAAAAGGTTTCAGCGCTTGCCACGAATGTTTACAAAGAATTTGAAAGGATGATTAAAAAGTACGACGAAGATGTAGTCAAAGAATTAATGCCATTAACTGTCGGCCTTTTAGAAGGTTTGGATCAGGCACTTCAAGATAAACAAGAATCTGATGTAGAATTAGAACTTCTGAGAGATGATAATGAGCAGTTGCTGACACAGTATGAAAGGGAAAAACAGCTCCGAAAAGTGGCTGACCAGGTATTTACAAAAAACATATTAGTTTTCAAAGCTGAGAAATATTGCTTCAGATTCATGAGCACCAAGGGATTAATAACGGCGCACACAACCCCCTACTCATAGCTTATTGCAATGTAGCTGTGGAACCGTAGCTCTTAGCCTTAGGTCATGATATTTTTTGACTATTTGCAGACCATAGAACAGCAAACACCCTCTGTCCCCAGCCCCTCAATAGAGTCATTAAACAACTTCTTCTTTTCGGTTCAGTTCCTGTTTTACAATATAATTATATTTGCACCTTGCATACGAATCTTAAAAGCATCAACCCTATAAAAAAAAAAAGATTTCAACACAGTTTACAGAGTGAAATGAAAACTCAAACTGTGTTGTTCATAATACATGTATTTGTGTTGCATACCAATGCATATGCTTCATTTTATGGGCACTACAATTCATAGCTTAGAAAGCAAAATAATTTTGATCTAGGTAGTCTAAATAAAGGCAACAGTGGTATACCCCTGTTCGAATTATAGTTATCTCGTACCATTGTAAACTCGTACCAATGTCAACTCGTACCACTTAAAAAAAACTCGTACCAATGAAAACTCGTACCACTGCTAACTCGTACCACGGTAAATTAATACCATTGTAAACTCGTACCAACTTATTTAAATGCATTCAAATGGTGTTTAATGATGAATATATACTTTAATTTCACTCAATACCTCTTAAGTTTGTGAAATGTATATAATTTGAAATTACAATGACCAATGTGTAGCTAATTTTCCTTGTCTAATTGGATAGAGAAAACCGTGGCAGATTGGTTTTGTTGTCTCCCTTGAATAGACTTTTTTTTAAACTTTTACTGACAACTATTTGATTTAATTTTTAATCATTCCAAATCAGTAACATTGAATAGATTTGGGTATTTTTCTATTGTTTCTAAAAGGAATTTTATTTAATGAAAGAATTTATTTATTGTGTTTTAAAGGTTTAAAATTGTTTATGACCAACAGTTAGAAAGTATGAAATTTATTTTTATACAATATTCAGCACTTTGTAGCAGAATAAGACCATGCTTATATTTCTTATAAATGATAGGTCATTATCTGGCGTGATAATTCTTCTCATTTATATGTATCACCTGTAGTGAAAGATATGCATCGCTCTTTCTTGAAAAGTAGTTGATAAATGAAATGGCACCTGAGATCACCCTCGGTTTTAAGTGGGTTCGTGTTGCTTAGTCTTTCGTTTTCTATGTTGTGTCTTGTGTACTATTATTTGTCTGTTTGTCTTTTTTATGAGTTTGACTGTCCCTCTGGTATCTTTCGTCCCTCTTTTTTTAATGACGTGACTAATGGTATTGTGAATGACCAGTAGGCGTAATGGTAGTGTTGGCAGAATAACAAAGAAGATATTTTAATTTTTTGTATACAGCTTAAAAAAAAAATCATAAAACATTCGTATTTTTGTCAAAGTTTTCATTAAAATCTAGTATAAATTTCAAGTAATTCAATTATTTTATTAAGTTTACCAAAAAAAATCATAAAACATAATCATTCGTATTTTTGAATATATTTTTAATTGTACGAGTTTGCAGTGGTACGAGTTCTGATTGGTACGACTTCCCAGTGGTACGAGTTTACGTTGGTACGAGTTAACTTTTTTGGTACGAGTTTTCGTGGTACGAGTTAACTTTTTTGGTACGAGTTTTTGTGGTACGAGTTTATAATGGTACGAGTTAACTTGCTTCCCCCCTGTTCAATAGTCATAATTCGATGAAGCAAAAACAAATCCGGGTAACAAACTAAAACAGAGGGAAACACATCAACTTTAAGAGGAAAACAATGGAACAACAGAAACACTGAACTACAACAAAAGCAAACGCCAACTTACATAGAAACGGACTGTAGATAACAACTGCCATATTCCTGACTTGGTAAAGGACATTTTAAGAAAAAATGGTGGGTTGAACCTGGTTTTAATGCTAGCCAAACCTCCCGCTTATACCACAATGCTAAAAATACCCCTAAAATGACAACACTACGTGACAGGCATACAGTACAAACAAATGCAAGAACACTCAGCACAGAGAACATTTCTACATGTTTTTGCTATTTACTAAAAATAGGTTTCTAAAGTGGTAATTACATGCAGAAAAGTGGTTACTAATCAGAAATATTAATTTAAAAATTTGAAAAATAATGTAGAAAGCCTTACATGTATATATACATGATATAAGTTTATTATTATTCTTGTATTTGAACAACACTTCACAAAAGGGTTTAGGAGGAAATAAAAATTAAAAAATTAAATCCTCCCACCCGTCCCATTTTTTTTTAAAAACTGGATGAAAATCTATTTATTAATTTTACTTGGCCTAAATAAAGTAAAGATATTTTCTGTGAAAATAGTTCCTGATATTTAAAGGGACAGTGATATGTTGGGAGTACATTGTATTTTAAATTCATTTTGTACAAAGATAATTAAATTAAGTTCCAAATTAAATTAGTTAATTGATATTAAAGTAACAACAAGTAAATACCTTACATCACAGAAAACATGTACATTGTAGATTTTTAGAGAAAAATGAAAAATAAATCACAGCAAGTGTTAGACATTTACATGCTTTCAAAAATAATAACTCAGTCAGTAGTTTTTAAATAAACTTAACAGTTCTGTAATTTCTTCAGTGTAAACAATCATTGATTGGTTATTATTTAAGATGGCAAGGCCTTCCAAATGTCAAATGGGGGTTCACCTGGTTCTCCCCTCCCGTGTAGAAAAGTTAATGTAATTTATAAGTCATGTAGGTAGAATAACAGCCAAATTATGATTTTCTTAATCCTAATTCTGAAGAGCCCCCCCCCACCCACTGATAAGGCAAACAAAAAATATATGTGTTTACGGTTACCCGACCGTCCCTATTTTTGAGCGCCGACCCTAAGTCATTTTATTTCCGTCGTAAAGTGAAAAATAAACTGAACTCGTGTCAAAAGCGAAGTTAGTGTTGCAAATGATATAAATCAATTGCCTGATACATCCCAATGTTCACAATCCTGAATATGACAGCTGTTTTAAGGAAATACACAACTTGTGTGATGAAATAAACACTTTGCCGCCATTTTCCAAGGGAAATAATCCAATCATCAAAAATAAGGGTAAACTCGGCCCATAATCATGGTGTCATGATCAGTCAGTCAACCCTAATTCAAATAGTTTATTTATAATGATCTAATAAGTATTAACTGACTTCAGATTAAAGCATAACACAAATTGATGCATGTGAGAAGAGAAGGGGCTGGGTCTTGCCCCAAATGTTTTGGAACTGGTGCTTTTCAAAACCTTGCAAGTGTGTGACATTACCAGAAACTGGAAGTTGCAAGATGGATTTACCTTTAAAACTCTTATTTCAAGTTTCTGTCTCATAGACGACTAATATATCCATGATATCCAAAAAAGTTGCTATCAAATTGCCTTGTTATTCTTTAATTACTTGCAATTGTAAATCCCCCTCCCTAAAAAAAAAATCCAATATAATATCCAGAACTTGTTATATAATCCAAGTTGTTGCAGTATTATGTACATGTACATGTACATGATGTAGTTAACTGTTTTAAAAAAATGGAAGTTTATAAGAAGTTAATTGTCAAATTTTCATTGTGCAATTTGCAACATTTAGAACAACATATTGGATAATAATTGTGTTAAACTATTATGCTAGATTAAAGGCTGTGTTAATAAGTACACGATGTTTGCATTTATGAGTTTATATTTTACAGAAATATTTGGAGATGGAAGATTCTGTGGAAGGAGAAAAGAAAGAACTTCAAGAAAAAATAGAAAGTTTAGAATCAATTGTCAGAATGTTAGAGCTGAAAGCTAAAAATTCTTCTGATCATGGTAAAGTAGCCCTCATATATATATGTTATTATTATACTTCTAAATGATAGGGAATATGAAATAATAGTTCAATGGGAATGATTAGGAATATGAAACAATAGGACATCACTACAGGAATAATAAGGAATATGAAACAATAATTTAACACATTATGCAGGGTATTATGTACAGGTATATACAGAAACTATTTTTAATCTGAAAGGGATTCAAGAAGAGTCAGACACTAAACTATGTGATATAATTTGATAATTATAAAGCAATTTCAATAACTTTTTCTATAAAGAAAAGTACTAACTAATGTATTGGTCTAGATTCTATAATAGAAGAACATCTTACTCACTTCAGTTCTATTTATTGTCCAAAGTTCTTTAGCACAAAAAGTGGCATCTGCTCAATGATAGTTTTTGACATGGAAAATTCACTCAAAAAAAATTTAAGCAAATGAAATCAGATCAATTACCAGGATTAGTTTTCAAGCATTGAATCAAACATTTTGATTTGTTAATAAAAAAAATCTAGTTAAATAGTCTTTGATGTTGTTTTATTAGAAGTATTAGTTAGAACTCAATAAACTCAAATGGTAGGTTGAAGTGATGGGGAGATAATCTTGTAAGGAGGTGATCATATTTATAGCTCTTCAGACTGTAAGATAAATTTCTTGATATGAATTTGGTCAATTTTCAATTGTAATATATATTCTATTAAAGTACAAGACGAATATATTTCATCATTTAAAATCTTTAAAGTTGGATTCCTTCTTGGAGTATTATCTTTTTTTATCCATTCATTTCAGTTTCAAGACTAGAAGAAAAAGAAGCTGATCTTAAAAAAGATTACAACAAACTTCATGAACGATACACAGAGGTAAGTGACAAAATAATGTATACTTGTGTTAAAATGGTTGTTTCTGGAGTTGAACACTTATTAAGTATACAAATAGTTACTGAATAATACTTGTGTAATATTAAGTTATTTGAAGAAACTGACTGACAGATCTATGCTCCATTTTCCATGTTGACAACAATCAATCATAAAACCACTAAACTATTGGAAAAAAAATACAGTAACAGAAACTTTTTTACTGCCTGAAAATACTAACACTATTTTATACAAGGAAAGGTTGAATTGAGAAGCCAAACACACAGGATGATGGATTTCTTCCTGTTACTATGCTCCAATGGCCGCCAACAAATGGCAACATTAACATGATAAATATGTTTTTGTATTCTATAAATAGGCAAACTGTCTGCAATGACACCATGAACTGGTAAATCTAAATCTAATATAATTGTTGTGAAGTTAAACTAGTTTTGTTACTAACAGTATCATGAGTACCACTAAGTAAAAAAGTCATATATAAGGGATACATCAGATAGTTTTTATCTTCAGTTATTTAGAACACATATGGATTATATGGAGAGGACCAAGATCTTGTTAGGTACAGATCGTCCAGAACTTTCAAACAGCCCAAGAAATAAGTAAGTTATACATGGGTGCTATGTACTGAGAAGTATTTTTTTTTGTATGGAAAGTTAATGAAGTTATACATGTTATATGTATTGATGTTTACCCTATTTTAATGAATATTATTTTTATAGTTATTATTGTTTATAATGTTATGTTATTGATAATTTAAGACCTGTTAAAAAAACGGTTCTTTTGTTATTGAAGTTCTTGTGTAAGTCTTTTTAATTCCCCGGATGAGGAGGAATATTTACCTGCTAAAGGTCGTCAGTAAAATTTTTTTACTTCACTAAACTGTCATTGAAAATACAAAATTGGTACACACAAAATAAATGAAGAGAAGTAAAGTACATGTCACATCTTTGTCCTTTCGCCAAAACAAAGTACCTTACAAAGCATACATAGAGTTATAGTTATTGTACATATGAAGTATATTTCTGCCTGTAAGAATTGTACATTGTAGATTCTATTATGTACTAGCATACATCATGATGTAAAGAAATTTCTATGAATGGTCAACCGTCTTGAAATTACAAAACTGAGATAAGATTTTTGTTTGCTTCTATATATTTCAAATTTATGGCCACAAAACAAGAAAATTGTCCTTAAATCCTTTGCAATAATTTGCATATTTTTTAAAGGGGATTCAATTTGCCAAACTTGCGACCAGTAAGTATGTTTCTACCTGGTCAGTCAGCCACGACTATGAGATCTCTCAGTAGTCCTACTCAAAGTATAGACATCAATTCACCAAGGAGTACAGCGGACTCTACTGTTAGTCTGAAAAGTGAACTGGCAGATTTGGAATCTCCAGAAATATCCAAAGAGAAGAAAGGAAAATTGAATCGTATATCTACGTGTGATAAGGAACAAGTTACAGATCACGTTGAGGTCAAGGAAACATCTACAGGAATGAGTTAGTATAATCTGTACTAGTTACTGTTGTTGTTGATGTTTTGCTTTCAAGTTTAGCAGGATGTTAAATGCTTTTCATTTCATAAATAATATCAAGAAAACAAGAAATACATTTCATGAAAATCTGACCTTTTTTTTTAATTTGTCACTTACATTAGTTACACACAAGAAAACATGTTGATATATTTTCTGTTAGTTTCAGTTAGATTTTATGCAGATACCATATCTTTTCAAATCGGACAAAAAAAATTCTTTGTAAACATTGCACTCTCAATCATTTTTAATTCTTATTTAAAAAACACCTGTAAGCTTTTGAAAAAAGATAATAGATCATTTGAGATAATCATTACAAAATGCATTTTTTTTATAACTACTTTTAACTTGTTTGCAAATAAAGGGATAATAAGTTTCTCCCATATGTTTCCAGCCTTTCTAAAATGTCATGATCTGCAACAAGGATGCTGCTTCCACTTAGCTTATAATAACATGGCATCTTAATAGATTAGACTCCAATCACAGCATCTGAATAAACTGTTTTATTTAGCAATAATTTAAATCATATATGCTTAAATTGTTTTTAAACGCCAGGCTGAGTATTGTATTACAGCAACCAACATATGGAGAAATTTGATATCTTAGTGCTTATATTATTCATTAAATGTCTGAAAAAATATGGTAATTTATTTATGTGTTTTTAAGTACTGTTTGTTTAAGTTGTTGTTTTGTTGGTTAAACATACATATCTCATTAAATGATAATGTTTTAGAGACAATTTAGGGACAGTTTTTATTCTCTATTTTGGTCAATTTTCTTACCTTAATTTTTTTTTAAAAACTGATATAGTTACTGACTAAAGTCATTTGTTTTATTTGTAATCAATTTATTTCTTCTTTTGAGTCATAGATTGGTAAATCATATGTATGTTTAGCACTATTCCAGAAATAAATGTATATGGGATGTGGTATCAGAAGGCACAATTATATTCCACTAGACATTTAGCAAATGTAATTGTTTTATTTCTGAGGCTGTATATTCAGAAACAACCAACACAGATTACATTTTAATTAAAGTGTGCCATCTGACCCCTTATACAATTATTTTGGAAAGCTTTTGTATAGTTTGTTATCATAAAGTTTGTTAGTTGTTCATACTTTGTTTGCTTTGTTATCTTATTTTTCTGCATGTTTTTTCTGCTTGTTATTTTGATAGAGAAAGATGAGAAGGAGGAAACACAATCAGACACTCAGAATCAGATAGACAGTGATAATTTAAATTCAGTGCAAAATGACGAAAATTCACAGGAAAATTACATATCAGATCACATACATTCACAAAATTCTGGTGAACAATTAACTATCAATCAGGATATTAATACATTAGACAATTTAGAAACATCAAAGTTAGATAACTCTGTTACAAACACTGTGACACCTGAAAAAGATTCTCATGTTAAAAATGTTGTGACATCTACCCCTAATCCAAAACATAGAATGCGTTGTGATAGTATGGACGAACCAGAATTTGAAGAAGATAAAATATTTGGTAAGTTAGGTATTCAAAAATAACATACATTTTGTACATGATGCTAATGTACAGACTTGATGATTGAATGTTTAAGAGAAAATAATGTCTGTGTTTTATTCATGGATGTTAGTTTACACTGTTCTGGGGAAATTATTGTTGAATTTATGTTTTCATCTTTTTCAAATTATAATTTAACTGTTAAATTAACGCCACATGTTTTGTTGTGTAAAATTATTTGAGAATTTTGTTTATGACTGATTTTTTTCTGAACAAACAAAAGCACTTTCACAGTTTATGAAATGTCCTAAGTTAAAATCATAACCACACTAGATTTATGTACATGCATATCAGGGATTGATTCCAAGTGTTTTCAAATGACCTTGACCTTCAAATTTGGGAATTTTCATCCTAATTGGGAATTTTTTTATGCATAAAATCTTAGACATTATTTTCCTGTAACAACAGAAAATGTATTTATTTTTACCTGTACACTGCTCAATTGTTCAAGACATCATAATTATTTGGATTACTTTTATGAGATCAAATACTCCCATAGTATTTTCGCCAATTGTATATGAGGGGTCTGATTCTGCTGCTAAACTCATTTACCGCAAGTTGAAATAATTGAATCGTTGTTAATAAAATGCGATCGTTGACTGCATTCTTGTCCCAATTTTTAAATGCTTTGACAACAAAATTATGAAAATTATAGTTGCCTAGATCAGCGACCGAAACATTCCCGGAATTTTTGATTTTTAAAAAAAAATAATCCTGAATTGGGAATTTATGTTTGCATAAACTTTTTTGGGGCCACCAGCCGATTTAAGAGCCGCTTAGGGACCCTAAATTATATAGTAGAATCATCCCTGCATATATATATATTGAACTAAAAAAGAAATGCTCTTTCGCCTGTCAAAATTTCAAACTCTCATATCTTTTTTTAAAAATGGGCAGATCATTAATTCTTTGATTAAGTAGTAAAAACTTTAGAAGGTGGTAGAAAATTTTGTTGAGCATGATAATTCTTTGAATTTTTTTCACATTTCAAAATTTAAAGATTAAAAACAGAACAATTTAAACAAAAAGCAAATTAACTATATTGATACACAATTTTTACATTGTAAACAATTTTACATAAATTACAAAATTTAAAGTCTGTTGTAATTCTAGTACTTTATTTTTTCATGATTAAACACATGGGACAACTTGTGATTTCAAAATTGATTTACAATACTTTCTGATGCCTATAAAAAGTCATAGAAATATTTGTATTTTAAAAAAGTATTATCGATCATGTTACTTTCACTGAAATAGACAAAAAAAAAAAACATCAGAAAAAGTACATGTATCGTTTTTTTTTATATGATATTGAATGTAATTATGAAAATTCTTGTCTGACCTCTTTCCTTCTAGAGCGCAAAACTTTGAAGCCCCGATAAATTAGGAGACTGACTTTAATGGAATTTTCTTTTTCTCTTTTTTTTTTACTCTCATGCTTACATTATCGGGTTTTTTATGGTAAGTAAAATATTCTACTCTTTTTAATAACAATTAAAATACTGTGATCTGGTATTCTGTCAATTTATTTGTCGTAAAAAATGTGTGTGAATTTCTATGAAGGATCAGAATTGTTAAATCATTGTTTATTGAAAATAGTTTACTTTTTGAAGAAGGTCTAGATGAAATTATGATTTTTGGAAATTTTACATTGTTTGCAGGATATAGCCAGTCATTGTGAAATTGATACAAATTTATATTTTACAGGTTTGGATCATGCTTTGGCTCAAATAGTTGCAACAACTCCAGAATTACAAGAGTTAGAGGAATCATCTAGTAGTCATAAAAGTACAAATAATAGTCTGAAAAATATGCAGTAAGTATACATAACCTATTAGGATTAACCAATAATACAGTTCAAGTCCATAAAAATGTGCAGGAAGTTTCCATAAAAAAAAACCTTAAAGAAGTCCCAGCAATTTAATTAAAAGGTGGTGCTAAATAGTGGAAGAGTTCAAAGGTAAATGTCTGCATGTAACAAAATGTTTTATTAGTGAGAGAGTGACCCAACAATAATGGAATGGTTAAAAAAGAGACTTTAACTTGATATTGAATGCAACTTTGTCATGCCAAATCCATCTTTAGCTGACTTAACTCTTGCATTTGACTCGTAAAAATTATATAGACAAGAAATATCACTATGTTAAATGTTTCATCTATAAGTGATATTATCCATCCATATATTGCAATAACTTTTTGTTTGTACATGTTGTAAAGCTGCACATCATAAAAAAGACAAGAACCATATTTATTTATCAATTTTATGATTTTCAAAAGATATTGCAATACCTGCATTTGACCAGCGAATATTGCACACTAAGATTTGGTTGCATTACAAAGCTATAAAAGAATTTTTTTTTTTTTCTTCGTCAGTTTGGGAATACTGATGTTTCTCACTCTTTATTCTTATAATTTTTTTGTTTTGTAGTAGGAACAATGAATCCATATTTGATGAATTAACATGCCAGGATGCAGACATAATTGGTGATGTTGATTTTGGAGCAGATATTACAGGTAAAGAACAAAAGTTTGTGAATCCGATTGCATGTCTGGTTAAGGCTGTTAACATACTCTTGGCCTGCACCAGTTATTAACCTTGGTGGTACAATATTATGTTTGTTTTATGAGACATTGAAGGTTATTTGCAATTTATGTTTCGGCTCTAACACCCTTGCCTTTCAAATATTCGGCTTTGAGCGTTCCTGATGAAGGTAAATCCAGAAAAGCGCTTTGGACGCATGAAATTTATAACAAGTTGTTTTCATTTTTAATGGCTGCTTACTGTTTGGTGTATGAGAAAATAACTGAATTGAGATATCAATGACATGAAATTTATGAAGAACTATCTAGGCAACCATAAACTTCTTGGAGTTTTTAGGCCCTACAATAAAAATTATTGGTTAACTTCTTTATTGGGTAACATAAGTATTATGCTGGCACTATGTTTAATATTTCTAATTCAATGTCACATGAAGCACCATTTTTCATTGGATGACGTCAGCTGTCAGATCAACATGAACAATTGGAGTCATTGGCATCAAGGTTTTGCAATCATAGTCAATGATTCTGGGATTTTTACATGCAATATTTCATGGAAACTTTGATATATGTTATAAATGCAAGAAAATAAATTTTTACTATATAAGATGTCGTATACGGACTCTTCATGAAATTTTGAAGTCGCAATTGAATTTCAACTAATAAAGAGCTGAATACTAGTTTTCTGCTTTTGAAATTAAAAAAAAACCAAGGTTAGGAAAAGTATAATTCTGTTAGGAATAAGAAAATGAAATTTTGACCACTTGACATGATTAAATGCATAAATATTACATTATAAAGGTCGAGAAGTAAATCCTGGTGATTATGCCTCGTCAGGTGAGGTTTTACTAACTTCTGTTGTATCTACCTGTGTGTATATGTATATATAGTTTCTGTCGTGCATGTGATAACCTTTCTAGAAATTGTATGCTTTAAAAGAATGAACATATAATCTTTTAACATAAAGCAAGGTCAGAATAACCTTTTTCTTAATTGTATGCTTTAAAAGAAAAAAAAAAGAAAAATATAATCTTTTAATATAAAACAAGGTGAGGCTCAATCTGATTTAAAAATTGTTTTGAGGCCTTATGTAATAAATACAAACTCATAACACTTTTATAAACAAGTTAATTTGACAGTATTCTTTTTCCATAATCTTAAAATTTGATAATCTGATAACATTTCCTACTGTAGAGTATATAATGTAGAATATTAAGGCCAGATATAGTCTTATTATTATTTTGTCACATAGTTTTGTCCACAATAGATATGAATTAGTGCAAAGTAATTTTTTTTTCATATTAGTTCAGAGGTTAAACAGTTTCAATCTTTGCTTACTATATATATATATATAACTGCATTTTGTAAAATAATAGTCTATTCTCTAAACTTAGCTTTGATATATTGTTAACCTAAGGGAAACAGTAACCATTTAACTGGTTCGTAGTTAATTCCACGACCTTGGCTCAGTCGTTTTGTTCAATGGAATGGACATGTAAAAAAGTATTAACAAAAATATAGAACTCCAAGGTAACTTTAAAAGGGGAAGTCCATAAAACATGACAAAATAAAATTTTCAACTATATCAACCAACAGAACGAATGGGAAACAATTGTCATATTCCTGACTTGGTACCAGCATTGAAACACAGAGAAAATGTTGTCAGAAGTAATTTTCAAAGGGCCTTCATTGACTCATCTACATGTCAGCTATTAAAAAATATCCTGGTTTACTAAATAGTTTTTTTGAAATTAAGAATTATTCATTTAGTTAATGTTTTGTTATCTTTATCTGCATCGAACTCTTGAACTCAAGAAATTAATTTCTAAATTTTTGCTGAAGCAATTAAAAAGTTGGTCATTAGCTATAGGTCCAATGTGAAAAATTTATTATCTGAATAAATACAAGGGAGTGAAGCAACTGACCCCTTTTCCGATTCACAAATCTACACAATATTGTTTAAGTATCAAACACGGTAATCTTGGTCACAATTGTACACAATATTGTTTAAATATCAAACACGTTATATATAATATTAATTAAGGAATAACACTTGGTATAAAGATATTGACAAATATAATGCCTACCGTGTTAAAATTAGCATAAAGCATGGTATGATAGAATTATTTCGAGTCTGATAGGAAAAATTAGAACTTTTGTACTTTGAAGCGGACCTATAATAAATGTTCGAAAGGCAGCCATTTTGATTTGATGAACCAAAAATGTTATAGAAAATCAACAGTTCAACGATCAAAAATTAACATATATATGTAAACTTACTTTTAGAATGGTTTTATTTAGTTTCCTAACGAGCAACACCAACAAAAAAGGCCATTTCGATCTCCGGCGTTGTTCAAAATACAACTGACGTTGCAATTTCAATTGTGACGTCAATTGTGTGCAGCCCATATTTTATTGTAATTAGAGCATGGCTTTGTTTCCAAAGAGAAAGAAGAACGTCATATTAGAATCTTGGTCACAATTCTATACAATATAGTTTAAATATCAAACATGTTAATCTTAGTCACAATTCAATACAATATAGTTTAAATATCAAACAAGTCAATCTTGGTCTGGTCAAGAGTCCTTTCATATACAAAATGCTGATAAAAAAATTAAGAAGTTGAGGGTAAAGTTTTTAATGTGTTGCCTGGGACAAAAGTAGACTTTGTAAACTTTTCCCAAGAAAATACTATTTCTATGAAATACTTCATTCTTCAGACCAACTGTAAAAACACATTGTGCATGCATTTACATCAAAGATCAGGCATGAAAACAAACATTCTAAATATATTAAGTGAATGTCTATCAGTTTATTATCAAGCTATTTTTTTTAAAGTAGAAAAGCTCCAATCTTATACTGTACATTATATTTTCTTGCACTATATATGTAAATAAGGAGATGTGGTATGATTGTCAATGAGACAACTATCCACCAGTGACCAAAAGATATGATTAAGTAAGGTTGGAGCATTTCTGCCGTACTGTTTTATTTATAGAATAGTTGAATGTTGTGCATTATGTTGTTGCATGTATTTTAATTGTTGTTTGTTTGTATGTATATGCAGATAGTGAAAATGAAGATGATCAGAATGAACGACGATCTACCGGTACGATTATTTATTCTTTACTAATTCATCTTACAAAGAACCAACTAACATCATATATACATGGGGAAAAATATGTAATGTTATTTCAATCTACCATTGCAAATTGGAATTCAGATTTGCTTGAGAATTCCAGGAAAGGAGGATAATTTGGAAGAATTGTACTCATATTAGATGGACCATAATAGAATATTTAATCACATTTGATAAAGAAAATTTACATACAGATCCTATGTACATGCTTTGCTAACAAAGATATGAAAATGCTTGGATGATGCTCGTTCTACTTTCTGTTTTGAAGAACTGTTCTGGATCATCAGGTAATAAACACCTAAAAAAATATGGGATGAGAAATTTCATTATTTGACATAATTTATATCAGAACAAAAAGTAGAATTGAGTCTGTCAGATCCATGTAAGCAAAGGAAATACACAGTATCTGTATTTGAAATTCCATTTACTTAAAACGAGTTGATTATTGTATGCTCAGATAAAGTGAGTTTCTCTATTTATGAAAGCATGCTGAAATGACTCATGAGAATGTTTAGTCTTAAGATTATTTATTACCTATGCATAGCATTGTATCGTAAGAATGCAGCATGTGATATTTGTAAGACAATTTCATGAATGACCAAACAGGTGGATCAGGAAGCTCTTTAATACATAAAAAATTATTCAGCATGGTGGGATATTTTTGGTTTGAGGTATCAAAAGATTATTGACCAATCAGTTAAATTTTATACATAGTGTGGGTTAGCTCATATGCCTCCTGATCCTCTAAATAGTTGACTTGGTTATCAGAGAATGTGTTAAAGTTTGTTCTAATAAAACTATTGACATACTAAATTGTAGTCTTTTTGGGTCAACATTTTTTCATTTACAAATCACATAAATGTTTGCTATTTGTTTGCATAACTTAGATGAAGCTTTGCCTTTGACGACAATCTGTATTTCTAACCTTTATGATTTTGAAACACACATTGCACAATACAAAATTTGATAAAAGATAAGGGATATAAGAAATTCAATCTATAAGGCCATACCAAATAGATTTTTTCGTTCTGTGGATTTACTGTCCATAATTTTGGTCAAAGGGGTTTTTAATTTGAAAATTGTTTTTTCGCATCCTTCTGACAAAATACCATAGTGCTGCACATACTTTTAAAGTTTTAAAGGAATGGTAAATTTAAAAGGTTGTTTGATTTAAGATAAAGCTGAGATCTTTTTATTTCTGAACAGTTAATTTTCAATTTCATTTTGCTGTTAACTGCTTTCATTTCTGTTTAAAAAAAGGGGGGGCTCAAATTTTATTAGCGTGCACACCTTTTTGTTTCCCATAAATCCATAAAACTAAAAACTTGAGGTGGTATGGCCTTATGGATAAAAATGCTGCATGGTAATAGAAGCATGACATGATGAGAATCATACTTGACTAATGATGTTCTGAATGTGATTCCCTGACTAACTATTTGTTTCTTTTCTGTTTTATATCAGTCAGTGATAATTTCTTTGGTAAGCAAAACTTGTTATATATTTATATACCTTTTTATTGCTTTGTGCTCTAACTGGCATCTTATTTTCCATTATACACTGTATATCATATACATGAATTTTATTCCTATAAATATTTTTTTAATCGAAAGTAAATTTTCCTGATTTCGTCAACATATATTTAATATTGCTAAGAAACTGCACTGACTGCCCTTCATTGGCCAGAAACCTTATGCTCACGATTTGATAAGATCTTGAATAGATATAAATAGTGGGGGACTGCAAAAGTGGTTCATGAATAAATGTAAACCAGAAATTCCAATGCAGTGTTAAATAAAGTTAAATTTGATTGGGTAATATGAAATTTTTATAGAGTAAAATCACTTATGATAACATGAAAACACAGATTGAAATTACTACCTTATTTCTGACATTGCATTAGAATGGAGGTAACCTTATAATGTTTGATTGCTTTCTGAGGTAAATCTTTGATTCAGTATCACACATTTCCATTTTTGCAACACTTTAAATAAGTTTTGCCTCCTAAAGTTTTCAAATGCAATTAGGTAACCATAACCTAATTTTGATACATGAACAACTTTGTCTTACAGTTGGAGCACATTTTGTTTTTATTTTTATGTTTCATTTCATTTTGATTTGTTTGGCTTATGATCCAGTGATTTTTTTTTGTTTACCTTTTATTTGACCTTTTTGTTGTGTATGCACACACAGGCTCTGCACTTTCATATACTGATATTTTTTCATCATTCTGTGTATATATTGTGTACAAATGGTAATGTTGTACAAATTATAATTTGTACAGAATTTTTGTACAAATTATCAGTGTTTTATGAACCATTTAACACAAACGGATGCTACAAGCACACAGTCTTTTGTTTCGCATATTTCTGTCTTATTTCCCTGACTACATGATACAGTCTAATACTGAGCATTGATACAAAAAACATTATAAGAACACAAAAAGACTTTTTATGGATATGATTTTGGTATAAGGAGAAAAATAAAAATAGAATTTAAACCATTCAGGTGTCCTTATTTCCAGTTTTAGGACAAGGAGAATAGCACTTCATGTAAGGTTGAAGTATATAAATTTGAATTTAAGACATTAAGCTGATAAATTTTAGAAGATAAACTTTATCACCTGTTGCAAAAAGGTATGTGTCAAAAAACTTATAACTTGTACAAAAATGTACAAGCTTGCATCTTGTACACAACATATGTTATATAACAATAAGAATAGATATTATTTAATATTATCAATCAACTGATGCATGTTATATATTTAATAAATGGGGTATCTAAATGGGAAATATAACTGTATTTTCAGGTTAGATTCATCAAATAAAAGGAAAATAATAATTTAAGTGATGTAGAATAAAGTTATGTAAATGATATACAAAAAAGTTTTAGAAAATCAATTTTTTATCATGATCATTTCAGAAAAACAAGAATTTTTTTTTTGATGAGAGCCTGAGTCTCTTAAGATAATGCACATAATCAACCTCTTCATTGCTCAAGCTTTTAAGAGTTGTTTTGTAGACTGCGTACTGCACATTAGACTGTAAACCAACTAAATGAGCCGTTTGTTTGCATAAGTTTTGGGAGAGCAGTAGAAAAATAACTAAAATTTAAATTGTTGCAAATATGTCAAAGTTGATTTTTTTTTTATATAAATATATCATACAAAGTTATAAATCACCACAAAATCAGGTAGAAAAAATTAAACTTAGAATAATATTATCCACGAAACATAAGTTGGTTTGCAGTACATTCAGGAACTTGATAGAATTAGAAATAAAATAGAGTGAGGGAAAAACACTTATCACAACTGTTTCTGCCTTAGGCTAAACTAATTCTTTTTACAGGCTTTTCCCATGTGAGTTTTGGGATATAAAGTTTTGGATAAAATGACTTTTTATGTCAAGCAACCAAAGAGCTGAAATTCCATCTCATTTTTTAATAAATCTAAATGACTGTTTTATTAATGAATGTTTGTAGGTTTGTTTTGCCAAAAAGACTTTTTCAAGTATATTGAATTTACCTCCTTCTCCAAAATATTTTTTAGAGAAAGATGAAATTTATAATAAAATGTCAACTTCTTCCTTTTTATACGACCGCAAAAAAATTTTTGTGGTCGTATATTGGTATGACGTTGGCGTCGTCGTCCGGCGTCGTCGTCGTCGTCCGGCGTCGTCCGGAGACACTTGGTTTTCGCACTCTAACTTTAGTTTAAGTGAATGGATCTTTATGAAATTTTACCACAAGGTTCAATACCACAAAAGGAAGGTTGGGATTGATTTTGGGGGTTATGGTAATAACAGTAAAGGAATTAGGGGCCAAAAATAAGCATTTTTGTAACTTCCAGACATAACTTGTGTGTTAGTGTATGGATCTCTCTGACATTGTACCACAAGGTTCCATATCACTAAAGGAATGCTGGGATTGATTTTGGGGGTAATTGCCTCCAAATTTTAGGAATTAGGGGCCAAAAAAGGGGCAAAAAACAAGCATTTTTCTAGTTTCATGACAATAACTTGTGTGTAAGTGTATGGATCTTTCTGAAATTGTACTACAAGGTTCCATATCACAAAGGGAAAGCTGGGTTTGAGTTTGGGGGTAATTGCCCTAAACGTTTAGGAATGTGGGGCCAAAAAGGGGCCAAAAAACACATTTTTTTCTAGTTTCCAGACAATAACTTGTGTTCAAGTGTATGGATCTCTCTGAAATTGTACTGCAAGGTACCATACCACAAAGGGAAGGCTGGGATTGAGTTTGGGGGTGATGAATCATAATGGGGGTTCAAAAAATTTTGGGGGGGGATTTATTTTTTTTTCCTTTTTTTCTTTTTTTCCTTTTTTGTTTCTTTTAAAATTTTCCATTTTAAGTTGGTTATTTCTGATTTATATTTAAAATCAAATAATAATGATATGGTAGGAGATACACACCAAACAGGATGTGTAAATTATTATATAATAAGTATTGTGCAATAGCAAGAAATTTTCAATTGCACAGTATTGCACAATAGCAAGAAATCTTCAATTGCACAGTATTGCGCAATAGCAAGAAATCTTCAATTGCACAGTATTGCGCAATAGCAAGAAATATCCAATAGCACAATATTGCGCAATAGCAAGAAATTGTCAATTGTACAGTATTGCGCAATAGCAAGAAATATTTAATAGCACAGGATTGTGCAAAAGAAGATACTTCCTATAAATTGCTTATTTCTTGACCAATTTCAATGGGGTTTTATTCTTGATTTCATGGGGTTCTTTAATATGCTGAATCTAACCGTGTATTTAGTTTTTGGATTTTGGGCCCCGTTTTTAAATTGGTCCACATTGAGGTCCAAAGGGTCCAAAATTAAACTTTGTTTGATTTCATCAAAAATTGAATTATTGGGGTTCTTTGATATGCCGAATCTAACTGTGTATTTAGATTCTTAAATTTTGGTTCCGTTTTCAAATTGGTCTACATTAAGGTCCAAAGGGTCCAAAATTAAACTTAGTTTGATTTTAACAAAAATTGAATTCTTAGGGTTCTTTGATATGCTGAATCTAAACATGTATTTAGATTTTTGATTATGGGCCCAGTTTTCAAGTTGGTCCAAATCGGGGTCCAAAATTAAACTTTGTTTGATTTCAACAAAAATTGAATATATGGGGTTCTTTGATATGCTGAATCTAACCATGTATTTAGATTTTTGATTTTTGGGCCCTGTTATCAACTTTGTCCACATTGAGGTCAAAAGGGTCCAAAATTAAACTTTGTTTGATTTCATCAAAAATTGAATTATTGGGGTTCTTTGATATGCCGAATCTAACCGTGTATTTATATTCTTAATTTTTGGTTCCGTTTTTCAAATTGGTCTACATTAAGGTCCAAAGGGTCCAAAATTAAACTTAGTTTGATTTTAACAAAAATTGAATTCTTAGGGTTCTTTGATATGCTGAATCTAAACATGTATTTAGATTTTTGATTAGGGGCCCAGTTTTCAAGTTGGTCCAAATCGGGGTCCAAAATTAAACTTTGTTTGATTTCAACAAAAATTGAATATATGGGGTTCTTTGATATGCTGAATCTAACCATGTATTTAGATTTTTGATTTTTGGGCCCCGTTATCAACTTTGTCCACATTGAGGTCAAAAGGGTCCAAAATTAAACTTTGTTTGATTTCATCAAAAATTGAATTCTTGGGGTTCTTTGATATGCTGAATCTAACCATGTATTTAGATTTTGGATATTGGACCATAATAGGTGAATGTCCAATTTAAAATTTTTAAGTTCTTAGACCACATTCAATCTGTGTTAGAAACCTATGCTGTGTCAAATATTTAATCACAATCCAAATGCAAAGCTGTATCAAGCTTGAATGTTGTGTCCATACTTCCCCCAACTGTTCAGGGTTCGACCTCTGCGGTCGTATCAAGCTGCGCCCTGCGGAGCATTTTATTCCTCTTTGAAACAATAAAAATTTGCCTGGTAACTATATTTTGTTTTATGTTTTGAATGAAATATACATTATGAAGACCTTACTTTTAGAAGCTGACAGTTAGTGTGTCCAATATTGTTTGCCATGTTTTTGTGCATGTCATTTACTAATACATTTGTATGAGCCTGGCTACATTTTTCTGTAAATGAAGTTCGTGTAACATGTAATGAATTTATTAGAGTTGATTTTGCATGAATTAACAGAGAGTCGTGTTTGTTATGCATGCTTTTCTCCTGCAATAAGTTAAACCATTGTTTGAATTTGATAAAGAATTCAAAGAAAACAAATCAAAGGTCAAATCAAATTAAAAACTGTTGTTATCAATGTAAAAGTAATTTTGTCCCAGAAACCTAAAAATTTTAAGGCAATTTCAAACAAGCACTGTTAAATCTGAGATTTCTTTCCATTGAATGTTTGAAATAAGTGAAATGTTTTAGAAAAAAAAAATTATACTTTTTGAACTATCCCGTATCAGGTTAAAATTTAGTTTAATGCAGGTTAAAGATTTGGTTTAATGCAGGTTAAAATTCAGTTTAATGCAGGTTAAAGATTTGGTTTAAGGTTATTTACCATGAAGTTGTAGACACATCAACTTGAAATTTAATGCAGATCTTCATAATGATGTGTATTTACTTAAAATAGATGCCAAATTAGGATTTTGACCTAGATTTTGTGGTTCATTAAACACATGATGTAATAGTGTGATCTGTGCATGGTGTCCTATGGACTCCTATTCTTGTTTTTCAAATGATTTCAGTATTTGTAAAAGTTGTTATTTATTTATTACAGGAATGGGAAAGGAATTGGAGAATATTATTTTAGAAAATACGGAATTACTGGAAACCAAGTATGTATTGTTAAAGAATAAAATGTAAAATCAATTGTTACAGAATAAAATGTAAAATCAATTGTTACAGAATAAAATGTAAAATCAATTGTTACAGAATAAAATGTAAAATCAATTGTTACAGAATAAAATGTAAAATCAATTGTTACAGAATAAAATGTAAAATCAATTGTTACAGAATAAAATGTAAAATCAATTGTTACAGAATAAAATGTAAAATCAATAACCAATTTCCTTTAGCTACCTTTCACAAATATCTTTTAGGAAATGTTTTATATTGTAAAAAGAGAAATTACAAAAAAGTATGATTTGTAAAAATAGAAAATCAGTGAAATTTCCTGTCTACAGACTAACCCAACTAAGTTAGCCATCCTGCATGGCTCTCAGTTATTAACTGGTTGACATGGAGGTAAATAAATATATGTCCATGGCTAATCCTCCTTAGTAAGGTTAGTTTCAGAAATAAATTATTAATATATTTTTCAAATTACTTGACAAGCTATTCAATTAGAAAAATGTTGAACAATTTGTCTCTTACTGGATTTATTTTAAACATACATTGTATATTTTCAGGAATGCTTTAAATATAGTGAAGGATGATTTAATTGCCAAAGTAGATGAGTTAACAGGGTGAGTTCATGTTTTCCTGAAATATACAAATAAAATGCCATATGTTACACCATGTTATGAAAGTCTTAAGGTTAGTTACAATCCCTTATACATTCATCTACAGAAGCTAAAACTTTGGTACTGGTAGGATTTTACATTCTTATTGTAAATTTGTCAGTTAAATTATTATGAAATTGTTAATGGTTGTTTTTGTTAGGCTCTTTATCAAGGTTTTGATGTGCTAAAATGTAAAATGTATTTGCTTGCCTAAGTTTTTGTCTTGAGCACATATGATGTCGTTTTTCAAGAAACATCCCATTTGCACTTAAATTAATATCAAGTTTATATCTAACGGTCTGATGAAAAAATCTGTCATTAACACCCTTTACTTAGTGTGAGTACTCTTTCAACTCATATTTGTTAAACTCAATTTGGAGTAATTTTTATTGCACACTGGCGTAGGAGGCATCAAGTTTTACCCTTGTATGTCAGTTCACCCGAAATTGGTTTCTGTTCCCTAACTTTAAGTTGCTTTGACCAAATGTTATGCAACTTATACACAATGCTTATTACCACAAAACACAGATCAAGTTCAAATTTGGGTTGCGTCACTTTCACTGTCCTCTAGTTAACCCATGACTGTTTGTTATTGAACCTTGAGAGCACTCAAACCCACAAGCAATCTGTAATGACAAAATACAGAAACAAATGTCATTAAGTTTCAAAGAAAACAAAAAGTCAATAGGTTTGAAATAGTACATTGACTCCTGCATATTTATATTTACCTGTGTCCATTGGAAACATTTATGTGTGTTTACATTTCATGAAAAAGATATAGTTGCCCATATCTATTTATTCTAAATATTAAGTTCAGTTCACAGTTATAAAGTCCTTTAGAATTGTGAAACTACCTTTCACTATGCTTAATTTGAATTTTGTTTATTTGACAGTGAACTGGAAATATGTCGAGAGGAATTATCATCATTACAGACAGTAAAAACTAAATTACAAGAAAGGATGAAATCACAGGAGGACGAAATTAAAAAAATGAAGGAAGAATTAGAGAAGAAAACAAACTCAGCCAAAGAAGGAGAAGAAGAAGTATTATTGATGTTTATATATTACATGAGTATTGATGTTTATATATTACATGAATATTGATGTTTATATATTACATGAATATTGATGTTTACATATTACATGAGTATTGATGTTTATATATTACATGAATATTGATGTTTACATATTACATGAATATTGATGTTTACATATTACATGAGTATTGATGTTTACATATTACGTGAATATTGATGTTTACATATTACATGAGTATTGATGTTTATATATTACATGAATATTGATGTTTACATATTACATGAATATTGATATATTACATGAATATTGATGTTTACATATTATATGAGTATTGATGTTTACATATTACATGAGTATTGATGTTTATATATTTATACATGAGTATTGATGACTGTAGATAAGGCTGAGAAAAACCCATTTTGAATGAAAAATAAATGAAAATCCCATGTTAAATATAATATCAGAACCCCACAAAAAAACAAAACAAGTCTTTTAACAATGATCTAAATATTGATAACTTGTATCTTAAATTTCTGTTCTTCATACAAGAAAAACACTGACCCAGGTACTGTTTATATTGATGTTCTTCATATGAATTAGGTGTTAAGCTCTCATTTTAACGCTTCTTTACAAGCAGTTCAAGGATGACTTCTATCTATCTGAAACAAAGGCTGTACCCAGACATCTGAAGTTGGTGGTCTTCATGGTTCAACATGGTCAAAATAGTTCTACACTACATTTTGAATTGCTGGATAAAAAAAGAACTATCTTGGATCTAATCATACAGCAGAAATAACAACCTGAACAAAATTCATTATAGTTTTTTGCTGTGCAATTTATGAACCAAAGAAATAATGAGTTTAGAACTTAAACAAATTGGAAAATTTGTCAACAGTAAAAAGAATTGATTAGAATGTTAAATCTTTTTACCTGTGAATTTTTATGTGACTGCCATTCATAGAAGTTTTTAATAATCTGAAACAGGCGTTCAAAGTACTTTCCTGTCATAACTTAACAGTATTATGAACTCCCCTTGTGCTGTTGAATAAATAAGTAATGATCCCACATTGTTGGATTATTATATACATTTAAGCAGCACAATATATGTCACTTGAAGTGTTTACTGTGTTGTTGAATGACTATTATTTAAAGAAAGATATCAGTTTTGATATATAATACCCTTATTACAGGATGATGTGCCAATGGCTCAGAGAAAGAGGTTTACTAGGGTAGAAATGGCCAGAGTGTTAATGGAGAGAAACCAATATAAAGAACGATTAATGGAATTACAAGAGGCTGTTCGATGGACAGAGATGATCAGAGCATCTAGAGAACACCCAGAAATCGCCACAACACAAAAACAGAAAAAGTCCTCCATTTGGAATTTGTAAGTAAAGTGTTGTCAGTTGATGTGCAAAACATATGTGTTGTCTTGTAAAAAGTAAGGGGGGAGTTGAAAGGAACAACGGGGAATTTTGATATTGTTGACGATTGTTTACAGGCAAAATATTATATCTTATTCAGATGTAAACAAAAACAGAATGTCCAACAAAAAAGTTTGTTGTATGGAGATGATTTAAAAAAGAACCATGATGTATGTTCTTCATTGTAATTAGCCAAATGAGAAAAGAGGAGGGGGAATGAAACCAAAAAAAACAAACAGCAGTAATATGATCTAAAAAACCCAATTCTAAAGATTTCTAGAACAGGCTGTATGAATCAATATTTGAAATATCACCTCAGTGTGTTTTGGGGCACTTCAGGTGATAGCTTTACTATATATTGTCAAACTATTTGGTGGTTTCAATTATTTGTAAATGTTTAAACAATTGAATGATTTGGGGGGGGGGGGGGGGGGAAATCTTGTCATAAATGTTATGAGATAGTTGGGTCTTTTATTAAGAGTCATGTAGTTATTTACAGAAAATTTCTTAAGAGAAAATTTTTTTTCAGGTCTTTAATAATTTCGGTGTAGCTTGAATTCAATAACTCTATTGTTTGCATAAAAAAATTCATGCAAAGTGTAGATAAGATGTTTAATATGGAAAGTTGTAAAAATGTACAAATTACCTCAAAGCTTAAAATGTCACTGCTGCCACCAATGTACCGATAACATAGGAAAGGGATTCAAATATGTGATCGTCTCCAGCTTAAACTACCACTCTTTTAACTATGTCAAAGGAAATCTCAAAAAAGACTTTTTTGTAGAAGAAATGATAAAATCTGTTTTCAGATATCCTAATGAAGGGTATTAACTCTATTACATTGCAAAATAGTTGATCCCATGTTATATCAGTAAAGTGGTTATGAAGTTTTTGACTGACTAAAATTTGTATGCTACAAAGGCACATGCAAATTTATTGACAGTGATATATATTCTCTTTCTTTTTATCATATAAATTGATTGCATTTATGATATAATCTCAGTTTAATGGTAGTAACACTTTCAAAATATACCAGGCCTTGATTTTATTCTATCGATAAAATTATAAGATGGTCCATAATATGGGCCACTGGATCTTATAATAATGTAATGATGAAAGGGCAATTCAATGTTGTCTTGCTAGTCCTTATCAGATATTTTCTAAATTCCTATGCATAGATGTAAGAAAGAGAGCTAAATTTGAATTCACAACTAAAGAGGGTAAATGAGATGTAGTTTGTGATAAAGTCATAGGTGGTACAATAGCTTCTATTTAATCAGATTCCTAAAATGTATTCTGATGTGTGAAATTTTCAATCTTAAAGAGATTGTAGCAAATTGAGTATACTCAACATCTTCTGTTATCTTTAAGATAATTTGAAGATGAGGATGAAATAAGTACTGCAAAAAAATTGCAGATGTAATCAATTATTTTTTTCCATTTTCAGTTTTGGTCAGCTTGTAGCACCTGACCCGATTCCTGCCAGCAATCCTAACAAGAAGGGAAAGCCCAAAACACAAATTGTTTGAAACCATACTTTAAACAGCATCACAATCAATGTAGAATTTTATAAGAGCCTCTCCAGATAAATTTGTATGGGGGTCTATGAAGACAATTTATTCTGACCCCAATGAAAGCTATTGCTTATACTGATTATTCCAGTGGTGCTATTCAGAAACTTTCTGAATAACTCCATTTCCACCAGAAATTTAGATATTAATGCCTTTAAAGAAATCCAAAACATTTTTCTGGTACTGATGGAATGAAGATAGTAGATCTGAAAATTATAACTATTTTTTATCAAATTTTGTTGAAAATAGTATTAAAATCAAATATTTGTGATTTGCTCTGTTATGCTGTTTAGAGTATGGGATTATGCATAAATTTAAAGTTTGACATAAACTTGTAATTCACAAACAGTTATGGTATTGAGAATTTGACTTCATTCTGTTTTTGATGTATAATAATCAGGTGTATATTCTAATTATTTATTAAATGATTTAAATTTTCTTTGAATACAAATTTAACCTATTTTGGAAAAGAATTCTTTCAAATTGTATAATAAAAAAAAAAACCTTAATGTATGAGGAAGATATTATGATATTATAGCATTGGTAATAAAACAATTGTCAATGAGAATTACAAAGTTTATGTCAACTATTATTTGAATACCTCAGTTCTAACTAATGGTGCCTATTTTTAATAATATACATGTGATCCATTCAAACTTGATCTCTTAAGCAGGTTTAATACATCATTTTTGTTAGTGTTATCTTGTTGAGGTTTTTTTTAGTTATTCTAGTTGTGAGTGTTGTCTTTTCTTTTTAAATCTTGTTCCTTTTATGAAAGGAATTGAAATTTTTATATTTTCCCCACATACATTTTATTTAAGACTTAAGTCATTATTGTTTTGATTTGTTAGATGGAAATTAAAGATTTTCAACTACATATTTTATTTAAAGACTTACATTGCAAGTTTTTCATGGTATTTATCACTTAAATTGAAATCCTCCACATGGTTTTATAATAAAGACTAAAGCTTTTTTTAGTTTTGATTAGTTGGATTAAAATTTTAGATTTACCACACATATAGTTCATAACTTGTAAAGACTTTGATTTAATTTAATTTAATGTGTTGATATATCAACGAATTGTACTAAATAGTAGGTTGTGACTAGATGGTGTTCTGTGAGGGTTCTGTAGTAGACACATATTAATTCATTCTTTCATTGTTCAGTTTGCATCTTTGGGTAAATAGTTTTATAGGACACGTACTATGTTCTAGACATCTGAAATTTAACTTTGAATCTCTAGTATAAAATAGGTTATCAAAAACATAAAGGAGATTTGAATCACATATCAAAAACATAAAGGAGATTTGAATCACATACTATGTATTCAATTGTGTAACATTCATTAAACATTACAAATATATGTGTATACATTATTTATTACACAAGTGTAAACAAGTGTAGAAATTCATTCACATTCCTACAGACTTTCATTACATTAATGATAGTACATGTATATGACAAATATATGAATGTATTTGAATAGACATCAATCTATAATCAATAATTTAATGGTGCTAATCATAGAACTGAGGTTATTTATTGTGTAAGGACCAGCTTATACTTACCTGATACTGTTTTACCATTTTTGAACCATTTTGCTTAACCTAAAGGTCATGTAGAAGTATTTTACTTTTAATCTAGTGACTGATTGTTTGATTTTTAGCTTGTCTATAAGATTTCAGAATTATTATAAAATTATAATAAATTAAAATAAGTCAAGAGTTTCTTAAAAAACTAAATAATTTGAAAACATTTGTAAAATGTATCAGTATGAAACATTACACTTTTATGATAAATCTTCAAATACTTCGACTAGACCTTAAAGCTTTTGACTAAGTGGTTTTGACATATCAAAGATTACAGGTTAGCTCAGGATCTGGTCCATATGTAAATCATTAGGGATCAATAAGAGATCAAAAAGTCCATTCTGTCTCATTTCTTATTCATCCTTATTGAGAAATTAATTCACATTTATTTTTACAGGTTTTCCTGTTCTTTCTATTTTTGCATGCCATACATAATTTAATTCTTTGATCCATATTGATCCCTATTGGTGTTTTAATCTTTTGTAAAAAAAAAATAAACTTGATTGTTATTTTAAATATTTTTTTATTTTGTGAAGAAAAATGAATTCATGTTATTGCATGATTTAAAATGTTTGTTATATGTTTTATTTTAATAAAATTGTTTAAATTGAAAACCTTATTTGTCAATATGGATCAAAGATGTTAAGTGTGTTTTTTCATTTTTTTAGACGATGTTTTCTTGGCATTTTTTTCCCCGTAGGATTCTTTTCGATTGAAACTAATGAAAGAATGGAAATACAAAAGAAACAAAAAAAAAAATAAAAATTCAGTGTTATGATAGCCCTGTCTCTTGTCTTATATAAGAATATCACTTCAGCAAGGAAACCTAACAATATTGGTGGCATAAGTTGAGATTTGAATTTTATAACAATTGATGGTTGTTTTCATAATGTACAGTGGCAAATAATTCATGCATATTCAGGATAGAAAAAAAGCCTTATATTTGGCTTGCCCCTCTTAAAGTTGATTTACTACACAAAAGTATCAGCATCAACACTTGCTATAGTAGTGGTATTATATTGTATTTTGTCAAAGATACTACTCTCACAAACTACAGTAATCCTCCTTTCATTGAGTTACCCTTTTAATAGAAGTGAGGCCATAGATTAGAAATGGGCTCGGGGATGAATTACAAAATAAATGCTGCTTCAACAAATATAGAAACTAGCAGAGGAGTGGACTCCTAAATTGGATCCTTCAAGGAAATTGCAGGGCCAATTTATCCAATTTTAAAATGTAAATGGCTGTTCTCTTTACCCCAAAAGAGTAGAACACACATTACACAATCAAAATGCATTATTATGCAGAAAAAAATTAAAACTCATTCATTCATGCTTCTTCCATATCTGCTCATTTCTTGGAATATTGAATTAAACAAAGTATTTAATCTCAGAACTATGAGGCCTTTGAGCAACTCAGAATTTAGAAACGTTAGAAATCCTTGAAAAATCATGGAAATTTTGAAAAGGTTCTATATTTTCTTGATATTGGAGAAGCTGTTGAAAATATTTTTTAAAGATTTACACTTTAAAGCATTATCTTGTTGCACTTGCTTCTTTCATTGTCTGGAATGTTGTTTATTTGAATATGGTATGTTCTTGTTTACAAATGCTAATGCCTAATTTATGCATCAACAGCATTGGACAAAGAAAAAATTTAAAAGATGAAGATATGTTGCTGATGATGTTGCAAAATCGATGAATGAACCCAAAATTTGAATTGTGTTTATTAGTTATTTTCAATTTACTACTAACCTCTGTTTCTGACTACTAATTCTGTATACAGCATGCTTAACAGTCATGG